AGTATTGGAATGGAAATCGTATCAAAGGCTTTTGCCATATCTAAAAATATACCTATACATCTTCTACCTAAGTCAAGATTGCAAGTGAGAAATTCAGTAAGACTGAGTACTGCATCATTAGTATATTTTCCCTTGCGAAAACCAAATTGATTGTCAGAGATAATATTATTTGATTCCAAATAGTTAATTAGTCTGTTATTTATAATTTTTTCTAGGATTTTAGATATGGTTGTGAGAATTGAAATAGGCCTGTAGTTTTCAATAGCATCCTTATTGCCAGTTTTATATATTGGAGTTATTAAGGATATTTTGTGAGCATCAGGGAAGACACCTTGTTTCAGACAACAATTAAAAATATATGTCAAAGGTGATACAAGAAACTTAACATTATTTTTAAGTAACTCACTTGAAATTTTATCTATACCAACCGAGCAATTGTTTTTCAGACCCATTATCAAGCTTTCAACCTCATCCTCATCGACATCTAGCATTACAAAGGAATTTGGTTTTGGTTTTTGAAAGGCTGCTCTTTTACAAGAATCTTTATCCAAAACAGGATCATCAGGATTATTAAATTTATTGGCTAACTCCCCTCCCACGTTTATAAAATAATTATTGAAATTATTAACGGCATCGTTAGGGCTGGAAAACAAAGACAATAACTCATTACTAGAACCATTATATTTATTAGTATATGTAATCTCTCTTATCGCTTCCCACATTTTTCTGCTATTATTACCCGCATTTTTATTTTTTTCTCTTTCATAGGATCTTTTAACATTTTTCAAAATTTTATTGCAGTAGTTTCTGTATCTAACATACGTTATCTTTATAATTTCATTATCTGGCGCACTTTAATTTTTTTTGTGTAAGCGATCTCGATTACGTATACATCGTAACAATCCAGGCGTTATCCACGGTTTCAATATACGTCTACGCTTAGGAAGGGTCACTCTTACAGAGTTAACAGTGATTGCAGCTTCGAGACAGTGCATTAAATCGGACATAGCCATATTGGGATCAGTTTCACTATATATGTGACTAAAATCTAATTTGGTTATATATTCTTTAAGGTTATCATTTTAGTAAATGAAACAGGTGCCTTTGTATAATTTCTTTTACCTTCGAAACATATTAAGACTGTTTTATGATCCGTAAGAGTGGTGTTTACAACTAATGTCATAACACGCTCCTTAGATTTTAACATTGCGGGGTCCAAACATGTTCCACTACTATCCCTAGTGACAAACGAATGAGTTGGAACTAGACCATGAAACGCGGTTAAAGTTAAGTAACGTTCAGAGACAGTGTCAAGTTTTTCATCATTAATCGCAATGTTAATGTCCCCAACAATAGCCACACATTTGAAATTCACTAGGTCTCCCAAAATAGTATTTAGTGATGTAAGGAACGGATCTATTGTTTTGTAACTTGGGGACCGATAAATACATACTTATAGCCCATTCCTGACATTTTTTTATGATAAGGCAGTTACCTTCTTGCAAATTTGGTTCCTCGATACTATAATTCAAACTATTTCTGGCATAAACTACTACACCGTCATTTTGGATCTTGTTATTTTTAGTCGCGAAGGAGGCGTAATCCTCTATTGAGGGAATTATAGGATTCGCTAGAAGCCAACATTTTATTAGAAATAATTAGTTTAAATCAGAGTTTTACAACTATCGCTATGTTAATTAAAATTAAATCACGCCAGACTTAATTATGAAGACTCATAAAGGTGCCACACTAGCTTTAAACTTGTTTTTGTTGATTATTAATTATAAAATTATTAATTATTCATTACATATTTGTTTACGTTTCAACCGACCCCAGATGAAGCAGATGCACATTTTTCATAGAAACGCCTCTCATTTAAAAACGATTGCAAGTAATCCTTCAATTTTTATGTACTTTAAGACAAAAGTATGATACTCTACTACTTAAAGGGTTTTGTTTGTAATTACGTTGGATAACGGCAGTGCTATCGCCAATTGTTTCAAGCGTACCCACCCTGTCTCCCCTACTTAGTAGTAGAATTAGTATTCCGCTTAATACCACTTTGTGAGATAAAGAGAAACTCGGAGCATAACAAATTTTGCAATGTCAATTCATTAAAAACTCCAATTACTTTTAACTTACTCTAAACTTTATCAATTAATGACTGTTTGCGAATGATTCATTAAGGCAACATTTTTAGCTCCAACTTCAGAAAAATAATGAAAAGTGTACCTACCTACCTAGTTAAATTTCTAGAAAAGTCACGATTGATTTAATTTGCCTTTCGGTTTTTTTATTCTGTCTTAGATATTATATGAATTTTATATAAACACTTTCTTTGGAATTATATCAGTAATGAGCAGGGAGATAACTACTACTCGTACCTATAAGTACTATACTTCGATAGCGTTATTTACTGGTTTTAATCTCTATATTTCTGTAGATAAGTATATAATAGGCAAAAGGACTTTTTGTGATAATAAATATATCTAAAAGAATAACAAAATGTTATATTTATGTAAGTTTTTATCCAAAGCTTTTTATAGGATGAAAGATAATATGTATTATACTAAAAATGGTATCTTATTTAAGTAAATAAATTAGTCAAAATTAACAAATCTTTTTGTCCCATATTAGGCATTAAAGTTCTGAAGCAGCATAAATATTTTTTTATCATAAGTCCATAAACACCCAAACAGTACAGTAAGCTTAGTAACGATTATCACGTCAAGACATTGCTTTGTATGTGCCTAATGTAGAGTGGTAAGAATCTTGCTTTAAAACCGATTTTCCTTTGAAAGGTAAGTTAATATTTTAGGTAGCCGCCGTGCATTTTGATAAATTCCAGTTGCCCTTTAAGGCTTCGATTTGCATTGAAGAAATTGGTGTTTTTGGAGTTATAGCTCAAAATTCTCTGATGATTCATAGATAGAGAATGATTAACTTACTGTTAAGTAGGTGTCGCAACGGACATATAATATAATAAATTTGCAAATCAGCTCTATTCAGACTATTACCACAAATACCATTCATTACCTTGATGTACCTATACGTAATATAGAGTGGTACGTATCCCGCTTTGACAGAGTGTTTTAGATCGCTTTTTGGAGGGAGTTCATAGTACGCCCGTTATGGTAATATATTTTCTTGACAAGAGACAGCAGTAAGCGCAAACCAATTACGCACCGCAGGCGATTCTCATCCCACAATCACAAAGTGCTGAAAGACTTGTTCCCATCGTCGAGCTGTGCAAAAATTTTGACGATTTATCAACTTTTCGACTTCGATCAATGTCACGATTGATGATTTGTTGATGATAGATGATGTCGTGATGAGAATATCTCACGCCCTTTACGATTTTGAAATAATCTCCAATATAGCCGCAGTTTTTGCTGGTTGCCAGAAATCTTCTCGACGACTTCTTCTTATGCGTCCACCCACCGACTTTTCATTATGGGATCGTTAGGTAGTCTGGAAATAGTGGACTTTACAAAAACAAAAAACTAGCAACCTCGAACGGTTTAAAACTCCCTTTGTCTTGACACATAAACAAAAATAAATACATATTATGTATTTTGTAATCATGTAGCAGTGGAAAACCGCTACAAAATCCTTTTTGTTGTCTTGAAGTTATAATATCCAATTTCAGGGGTGAAGACGCGATTCAGTTTTTTTATTTATTTATTTATTTACTAATTTAGTACACACACAATAAAATAGATAAAAACAGGAACAAGAAATTTGTACAAGGGCACTGCTTATTTCTTATTGAAATTTCTTCCAGCAGGTAGGTTTTTTTCTATTGTGTATTCTTTTAGTTGTAACAATTAAATATAACTATGGTACGAACACAGAACATAGGGTACGAACATGGTCGTAGAATATAAACAACCGAGTACTATTAAAAATTACATTACTGAAAATTGACCTTGCCCAATAATAATCGGTTTAATACTTGGTGTGGATTATGAACCACTTTGAATACTCCTTTAAAATAATGAAATGTAATGATAGATAGGTGGTAAAAATGTTAATTTTTGTCATATTAGTATGTATGGATTGATATGGATAGATGAAACAGGTGAGTTTTTGAACTCCAGAACATTCATAAAAAAACAATGACGATATCAACACTATAGGTTGTATACTTTTAATTTTATTTAAAAAAAGTTATGGTCATCCTATTAGAAAAGGATTAAAGATCGCTGTTCTATATCTCTTACTCATCCCGTTTCATTGGTAAAAGTACTCAGTCTTAGTTATATAGTATTTCCATGGGTACAAGACTCCGAAGCTCATTTTTTCAGTTTTTCAGAAATCGATTAAATTTGTTGATATTCCGTCCAGTTTTCGAGACAATTAAATTTATGTCGTTACATATTATAGTTTTTATATTTTAAGGTGAATAATGAGTTACTTACCGATAGTAAAAGACTTTTTCGTTGTTTTTATGCGTCTTTCAAAATTTCGGCAAACTTCTATTGCGCACCTCGGCATTTTTAAGAAATAATTTCAACACGAATATCGGTAATTGTCGTGCTTATCGGTCAGCGTTGCATTGAACACTAATTACTGGAAACGACTTAGACGAGTCATCTGCGCTTCCGCAGTATAATTAATACTATATGTTCTTTCTCTTCTTTATTATTTTCTATTCTTAACACAAGCCTTACAGATCTAACTTTCAGGTTAGACTAATTAGTGTGTGTTAGAAATATTTATTTTTATAACTAGCAGCCGCTCGCTTGAGTTAACTTTAGTTTTTTGGGAAGCCCTCAGGAAACTAAGGCTTCTCCGGCATAAAATATCTCTTTCCAGGTTATAAGCTGTCCGTGTGCAAAATTTCATCCAAATTTAACCATTTCTGCGAGATTGAGTAACAAACATACAAACACACAAACTTTCATATTTATAATATTAGTAGGATTATAATCATTTAAAAATGAAGCAGTTTAATGCTTACATAACAATATAAATAAATGTTTTTGCGTTAATTTCAGAGTGAGTACCGGTTCGCGGGCGGGGGGTATCCAAGGGCGAGCAGCGGCAGTCGCAGTAGTGGCGGGCTGTGTTCCGCGGCGCTGGTGGGCGGCGCCCTGCTGGCGGCGTTCGCTGTGCTGGCTGTGGCAGCACTGGCCTTCTACATGGGCGCGCTGAGACCCGACAACGGAGAACGTAAATATTAATCTCCCTATTTTCAGAAAGCGACTAACAGTATTTTGTTTCGATATATACTCATCAAAGAGTAACAGGATTTTTTTTGAACTTTTGACCGATTTCATATGTTTTTAATAATTGTATTATTTGCAAATAATAACCAATTTGATTTATTGTTAGACACTAAAGCTATTGAATAAATTCCAAATTTCATAACGATAATTTGAAATATCAACTGATAAAACTTTCAGTTTGCGTAAATATTATTGCTTAGACTTCTTTGATGCATTTGCATTGCATTTTGCATGTTTGCAAGTGCCCAGGTTTCTTTTTCTTCAGCTCACTTTTCAGTTTGTTTACCTTTATCTCTTGATTTTATAATCATAATCATAATCAAAATCATTTATTCAGTTTAGGCTGTTACAAGCACTCATGAATGTCTAGAAGCTACGCCATCGGTTCGTAAATCTACGGCGGGAGAACTTGTACTGAGAAGAACCGGCAAGAAACTCAGCAAGGGCTTTTTTTTCTCCCTGTTTTATTATTTACAGAGTCGTCAAATTGAAAAATGACTTCAGAGGTCACTTTTCATTACATAATTATTAAATATACATTAATTGTTTACCTGCATTTTGGTTGCTGTGCAGTGGCGAACTAACAGGGGGGCGGAAGGGGCGGCCCGCCCCGGGCCTCCGATCTTGGGGGCCCCAAATGCCTCCGCGTTCCCCTGATCAAATGCTAAACAAGACTTTAAAAATGTAATTAGTAGTATGTAGGTATAATTTCATCAAGATCAAAACACTACAGCCATCTAGTCTTTTTACGCGGTACTAATATTCTTTTAACTGAACGCGTCCAATACGCTGGGGGGATTCCCGTTTTTGTAGCGGATACTTCCTCAGGAATCCCTGAATGAATGAAGTGCAAATAATTCACATAATAATAATTACCATATCACAACATTCAATAATAGTTTGTTACGGTATAAAAGTAAATGAGTTCAGAGTTGAGAAAATGCATTTTCGAGTTTTTGGAAAAGTAAGTACCTAATTCTTCGAATAATTTAGCCTACAAATTATAATCCGTAGTTTCTAGTCAATATGCACCTACGTTTCTAGTCAATATGTACCATATTTTAGGTATGTATGTTTATTTAGCCGAAATAATTTAATTCGAATTTAAATTTCACTTGCTAGATTTCAACGAAACAAACATAAGAAACTATATTTTTTTAAAGCCTCATTCAGCTTTGCCGCCTCGGGCCTCTAACGGGCTTAGTCCGCCACTGTTGCTGTGTCATACAGTATAAATAAAAATAGTGTTATTTACATTAAGTGTTACTAAACATTAACTTCAATATTAAGGAAGTTAGGGCAGACTCATCTCCGCTGTCAGCACCCGTTCACGAGCATGACGCATGAACCAGCCATCGCTTCGCTCAACCATATTTTAGGGAACGTAACGACCCGCCTCACACGACACCGCCGAAGAGACTGCTATGAGAGCATGACTATATTATTTAATTTAGTTTTATATTACTTAAAACTCAGTGTAACGTTCTGACCATATGTTTCTTCGAGTATTTGACAGCACATGTAGCTTCTAGGTGGTAGTTAGTACCTTACCATTTATTCAATACTAAAAAAAAGGTAAATTTAAAAAATCAAAAAACCCGACTGCTTAATTATTCTTCAAATAAAAACTGAAAAGAAAAAAACAAGTCCAGTAGTCTATAATTCTGTTAATAAGGAACAAAGCTACTTAACAGTCGGGACCCATTAATATTAGAATAATATTTTTCAACATGGGTCCCGACTGTTAAAGTAGCTTTGTTCCTTATTAACAGAATTATAGACTACTGGACTTGTTTTTTTCTTTTCAGTTTTTATTTGAAGAATAATTAAGCAGTCGGGTTTTTTGATTTTTTAAATTTACCTTTTTTATTTCACACTTTTTAGTTAGTATTTTAAGACGGTATATACCTTAAGTACATTGTTACTTCAATAAGGAATTAATATCGCGGGAATTATTAAGTACCTTGCGTCGGTCTAAAAGATTGATTTATTAAGACATATAAAGACTTTACCAGCGGGGTCAAGGCTACAGATGGGCCTCAATTTTCGCAAAAATGTGTGAAGTTAAATCAAGTCGTTACATAAATATCTCTAATGTATGTAAATTTTATAGTAAACTAGCACTTACTCAAAAAGTCATCTTTTGTTTATGTTTTTTTAATAGTTTAGCAGTAAATATAAAATTCATTTACTTTTATTCGTCGACTATTTAAAATTGGCAGTGGCTGCATTGTCATGTCAATGCCGGACGTCTAAGATTGTGATATACACAAATTCAGTGTCAGTCCCTAGTCTCATAATTTGATACCTACATAATTCACAGAAACCCAATATGTAGATGCCAGAAGTTAACTTCAAATGTTTTTAATCACCCTATATACAATACCAATCAATGACGTTTATGTCGCAGGTTGAAGAAAGAAGTAATTCCCGTCTGTTGTTTTGGACAATGGTGGCAACTGCCTTAGATCACTAAATTAAATAATTATGCAATCACCAAAGCAAAGTTTATAATATTTGATTAAACTAAAGGCGCATAATAAAATTTTCATAACGTTAGGTAGAGCACCATAGCAATCTCATTTATTATCAATTTATAGTTCTCTTTGTAGTTTTCTTTTAAAGCGTTCACATTTAACAGGTCAAAGACTTTGTGTTCGACCCTTTTTTATTGGTAGTGTAAAGCTCGAATGAAGAGTACTCCCAGTAGTGCAATCATGGCAATTATTTTCCAAATTTTTTTTTGTTATAAAAAACCGAATAACGTATCACTGTTAAGCACAAATGCTAAGTAACTTTTACAAATATAATCAAATAAACCTATTACTTACTTTATTTTAAATCTTTTTCATCAATTAAATACTTATCTTATCCTAACTATCTATACTAATATTATAAAGAGGCAAGATTTGTATGTTTGTAACAAATAATCTGTCAAACTACTGAACCGGTTTCAAATATTAATTCATCATAAGGTAGCTACATTATTTATTTACATTTTTCTTTATTTAAATACATTTTGTCCGAGTGACATAGGCTATATTTTATCCCGATAAATAAATTTCGCCCGTACAATGCCCGGGTGGATCACTAGTAAGTATAATATAATATTATAGATGCGAAAGTGAGTTTGTTTGTTGCGCTTCCGTGCCCTAATAGCTAAATCGAATATAATGAATTCCCATATAGAAGTAGATGGGAACTTGGTTCTTAGCTACAACATCGCAATACTTATAGGCGTAGGGTGATGAAAGGGGTGATTTACCTATAAAAATCTACATTATTTACTTTGAATTTTGCAGAATTATTACAAAACCAATATTATCGCGAGCTGATTAATAAATACAGGGATTCCAATAAGTATGTACTTACTAGCGAAAAATGGGTTATTTGTCATTATATTAAGTAAACCTTTTTTGTAACATTAAGTAATATCGTTAAAAAAATGAAAAACAGTAAAATTCTGAGTTTTTCATTAAAATTCAATAATCATAAATACCTATTATGATAATATATTTTTCATCATTTAATAAGAAGGAACTGTATCACAGTTTTATGTTAGTACTTCGTATAGGATCAGATACTGCGAATACCCCATTTTTTTTTCTTTACATAGTACAACGCGCTATCACTTTGTCATCGTTGTAACTTTTTAAATATTTGTCGAAATGACATAGTGTAAAAAGCAAACTTTATCGTCTTTAAATATCAAAAGCGATTAAAGTATTTGTTTTGATAAAAAATGATTTGTTAATACAAAATGTGCATTTTGGAAATAGATATCAAATAATATTTTAGTTTTGATTCACTATTTTAGCGGTAATGACTTACACATTAAAAATAGATATATGGTGTCACGGACTTTTTTTAGAACTATTTAAGAGATACATTTTCACTCTACATTACATTCATGTAACTTTTATTGTTTTTGCAGTGCAGGCCAAAATGGCTCGCAGATGGGTCATTTTTTCCCGTCTTATGTGACACTTATTGCTATATATTGGCCAATTCACTCAATAACTACATAAATTATTATATATATGTAAATATCATATATGAGCTATATTACTCATCATAATTTTATGTACATTGCACTTGTTCCAAATAAAGTTATTATTATTATTATTATATTATTACTGTTAAGTTTCATTAAAATCCATTCAGTATTTTTTAGGTGAAAGACTAACAAAGATCCATACAAACGTAAGATTGAAATTAAAAGCATAAGTGGTTAATATACAACTTTAAGGCGTTGTAGATCCTAAACAATCATATAAAATGAAAAATGGTGTTAGGAACCTAAACATGATTTTCGATTATCTAGACAGTGATACCCCACTCGACATATTTTGTCACCTTTTTTTTTACTTCGTCACAATATGGCGCCTAATTTTGCCCATATTGAATTTTGATTACTATCATATCTTTAGTAGCACTCCCATGATTGAGACGAATCGATTGATGTATGAATCATCAAAATCGGTCTAGGCGTTTGGTCTCTAGTGTGCCACAAAGGAACAAACATACATATATAGACTGTTAAACACATAACCCTGTTTGCGCGTCGCGCTTCGCGCTCTTGCATTGCGCAGCCGGGTAAAAAGAATACATTTTTTTTACTTCTCATTGACTGAATTTAATACAGTAATGAGATTCTATTGATTGTACAGTTTCGTTAACACTTTAGCTAGATTTTATTGCCTTCGAAGGCAGACGAGTAGACTGGCCACCTAATGTTAAGTGGTCACCGTCGCACATGGCCATGAGCAATGCCAGTGACACAATTATGCCGCTGCCTTTCGTGGAGTACTCTATTCAAACCTCTCTTGAAGAGGACCATGTTATAGTACCGAGAGAACACCGTGGAGGTGAGCTCATTCCATAATTTTATTGTCCGTGTCTAGTCCGTGAAGTAAGAGGTCATTCCATAATTTTATTGAAAGTCATTTGCATATAAGGTTATGCTGCAACTCTTATATAAACTTTTTGAATACTGATTTACCTACTGTTCCTATTATTTGGCTATTGTTCCTTCCAGCAATGATGACTTTCGAGGGTACATTCCGAGTGACACGTGGCGACGTGTACGGCGGAGCACCCAACAGTCCTGCGTGGCGCGAGCGGGCTCGGCGCTACAGCACGGCACTCAGGCAGGTCTACAATGGCCATTCGCCCCTAAGGCAGGCATTCGCTGGCGCCATGGTCACGGGCTTTGGCGATCGACGCTTAGACGTCCATTTCAAACTTTATTTAGATAGAAGAAAAATACCAAGGTAAATGTATCTATAAAACCTAGTTAATTCATACTGCAACAAGTCTGAAGTATATTATTTAAACGATTTCATTTTCTCTTACAGCACCGTAGCTAATATAGAAGAAACACTAAAGAATATTTTAGTGCAAGATATACTATCGAAACATCCCGCTTTTGGACAAACAATAAAAGTAGACACTTCGAGCATAGTAATAAAAAGAGATTTAGAACATACATATCATTCAGAATCATATGTTAAAGAAGCAATGAATGAAAGCATGGCTACGAATTACCCAAAGTCTCCATCACCTCAAAGTGGAAAAGACAAAACATTGCAAACACGCGTGGGTGTTGTTAGAAAAACAACAGTGAAACCAAATGCACCAGGTAAAAAAGATGACAGCGATGAGCCCGAAATAGACCTTGAAAATATTCCTGTCGTGCAGGGTACGTTCCAAATAACGAAAACAGAGGCCGATATAACAGAAAATAAAAAAGCTTCTAATCCCGTAAGAGCTAGCCATAAACCAGTTTCGACTACGAAAGTAACGACAGGCACAAAAAGTTCAACGACAAAACCTTCAACAGTTAAAACTTCAACAACGAAGAAAGCACCAACAAGTACACCTAAAAGTCGACCTTTTACAATTACCTCTACATTTAACGTGAAAACTAAAACAGACCCTCCTCCGAAAAGGGACAATTCAGTAAAATCTGTATTGACATCAACGACATCATCTACAACTGTGCCTCCATCTGATTATAACATAACGACACAAAAAACATCAAATAATGTGTCACAAATATTACTTGAACTTCTTACTAATGAGAACCATTACAAAGACTTACCAAAGATAGACACACTCTTTACTGTTCCACATGTAATCGACAATGAACCATGGAGACCCATAACAAGGCCATACTATGAAGTTACAAGTAAAGCTCCATCGGTAGTTAACGAAGTGACTAGTGACCTTAATGCGGAGGACAGAATGGGCGTTGCTGAGGTCGTAGATGATGCATCTATTTTAGAAAGTATGTTAACACCAATTCCACCTGTTAAAAATCGAGATAGAACAACTCGTAAACCAGCGGGAGTTTATGAAGTAGATCCTGATTTAGCGGCAGAAGTTTACGTGCCAAGCCCTGTGTACACAAGTTTTACAATACCTACATATGCTCCACCGCTTAAAAATATGGAAACCTTGGGAACTGGCTACGTAAAACCACATCCGATTCCAGTAGATAAAATCAGTTCTGTAGTTGAAGTACAATCTGAAGTTTATACAGATGATGAAGATGATGGTAAACCAATACAAAGGCCACCAAAGGACAAAATCACTTCCGTGATTGTAAATATAGCTCAACAAGATACAAGTACAGAGAAAATTGCATTTGATGGAGCTTCAATTATAAAGAAACCTAATAGCACAAAATCAGCGACAACAACAACCACTACTACCTCCACAACTACTGTAACCTCCACAACCACCTTCGCTCCAACTAGTACGAGAACTTCAACCACTAGTAGTACATCACAAGTTCCAGAACTAGAAGCAAGAAATGATAATGATACTTATCTTGAAGATAAATTTCATAAGCATACTTATAAAGAAAATTCTACAAAGCGCCCCAATAATAAAGTTTCTGTAATTCCTACTACAAGTGGACCTCTTCATACTTGGGAACTAGTTAATACATCTACTAATGACAATGATACTTTTAACAAGAACTCCCCTGATAAATATTATAACGACACTTTACAGGCGATAATAACGAAAAATGATGCATTGTTCCCCAACACTACACCTCGATTTCCGAGCAAAGTTTCTATTTTAAGAAATTTAACAGAAATCATAAAAAGATATTCCCAAAACACCACAGAAAAACCATCTAAACACACAGAAAGTACTGAAAAAATGGAAGAACAATACAATACTGAGAAACTTGAAGAACGACATGGTACTAACAAAATGACTGGTTCGGTTGAAGTTGTTCTGGAGGAAGAAATCCAAACAAGTACTGCTAATGTCATAACTTTGTTGCCAGCCAAATCAAATCTTGGTGGAAACCGGCCACTCAGACCTCGACCGAAAATAAAAGCAGAAGCCCAAATTTCTAAAGAAAGTCTACGAAGTTTCTTAAACAATGCACCTAATACACAAAAAATAATAAACGATCTCAGTACTGAAAATTATATTAAAATTTCTCAAAATCCAGACTCCAATGAACCAGAAATTATAACATCCTACCCAGATTATGAAGAAAAGAAAGAAGAGAAATATATGTTCACAACTGTCGCTGACAGTTTAAGAGTGGCAACCGAAACCGGCTCAAGTAATAATCGACTACCCAAAAAAAGTGATGACTTGAATACCGAAAATTCAAACAACATTCAAGTGACGAATGTACCTGAAGGCACATATAGAGTATCTTATCACGTAACAGGAAGTGTAAGCAGCAAGCAGGCAAATAAAACTCAAAGTTTACCGGCCTATGAGCTAACTTTGGAACCTGATGTAGTACTAGAAATTCCGTACAACCAATCAAATACGTTAACGATTGATAAATTGAAACAACTTGCTAATCTAGCAACTATATCAGATTCAAATAATAATACTTTATTTCGGGCTCCTGGTGGAGTCATATCTACAAAAGCTATTCCATCAAGCTATACATTGAACCAAGCAGGATTTAAGATACTAACGAAAACATTCAACAAAGCTCCACCTTCCAAACAAGATGACAACCGGTTAGAAAAACCTGAAAAAGTATACAATAAACCCAGTTTTACAAATAAACTATTCTTAGAAAAAGAGTATACCAAGGATATTGATAAGAAAGGTAAGAGAATAATACAATTTTAACAGTAACTTCCAGTTCCTCCACAACAAATTCAAAGAATTATACATTGTTTCTAATAAGTACCAGTTGCTCAGAAAAAATATTGTCAATTACTGACGCTGAACTGCCGTAATAATGTTTTCTCTTATAAAATCTTACTATTAAAAAATTATAGTCACATCACCATATTAGATGTGAAGAGCCCTTTTACATTTTATGTAAGAAATTTTAATTTTTGAGCGCCTATTTTACCCTTTTAAAAATTTTTTTTGCTTTTTTTTGATGCAAGTAAGAAGTAGATTTACCTTTCTTATTGTTAGTTAACATAGAATATTTGCAAATATTTTTTTTTGTTCTGATCTTTCTACCGCACCTTGTTTACGGTAAAATGTATAACTTCAAATGCCTTAATCTATGAATTAGATTGAATAAACTAGTTTAAAGTAATTGCTACGTTATCAGAAATACGTTTTTGTATAATATAATATATCATATATATTAATTAATTTATCATATATAATTTATAATATTGATTTTCCGTCACATTATTTAAAAAAAACTCCTTCTCACCTCCGTTACTTTTACCTAATAATGACGCAGGTTTAGGTCCCGCACTCAATTAATATTGCTTTAACTTTGGTAATTAAGGACCGATTTACTTGCGGTTTTTTGAAATAATCACAAGATTATTTCTCTTTATTTTTAAGTATTCGTGAAACCTATTTTTCGGATTTTTTTATTTTCTTTCCTTATTATTTTATTATACTTTGGTTCTATATTTTATTTTTAGCTTTATTTCTAAGCTTATATCATTAATCAAAGAAATATTATATAACAAATTTTCAATGTATAACTTGTAACCAAATTGGTTAGACATCCGCCCAGATAGCGGAGGGTCTGCTGTCTGGACTACGTGGATTTTTTTCAAGTAAAATTTTCTTTAGATTTAAATGTCTAGCAGGTAAACTTTAAAAATAACTTTAAAAAAATTATAGGTGATTTCCGTTTTGTAAATTGCCGATACTAAATTAAAATGTAATGTAATGAAGTTAAGATAAAGTTTGTTCTTTAATTCATGAGCTTTTCAGAAATCTAGTACCTACCTAATTCCTGTTATCATAAGTGTAATATGAACACAATAACAAAAACAATTCTACATGCGCACGTGCATGCGACTAAGAAAAGATCCTGGAAGTCGCGGTTCTTGACGGTAACCGAATCAATTCTTATTAACTTTCAATCTTAGATTTGATTCATCATCATTAGGGATGCAAAGTCCTTTGAAATATCGAAGTCAGGAAAATATCGATATCCGATATATCGACCATTTTAACTCGATATTATCGATATATCGATATTTTTTCCTTTTTATTTTTTATTGACATTAGAATACGGGGTGAGTGTGACACATTCATGTTTGTTGGCGAGTTTCTCGCAAAATGCATTGAGCCAGATTTTTCGTTAAACACTCTTGATGAAGTCGCGCCAAGCAGGATTTTTTTTAAAGGCTCGCACGGTTTGTGTTCAGCCACGACAGGAAACCTAAAAATTATAATTATTATCCTGATCAGATCACTCACATTCGTTAGCACGAATGCGCCAACCCGCATATGTGGGACGACATTTGCGAATGCCTTCGCTAAGTTATCACTACATTCGTGCTTTTCCAAGCAATGTCGGTATTTTAGCGCACATCAAATACGCAAATTGCTTAGTCTCCCACACACCAGGAGCGTGCCCATGGCTTCAGAATAGGGTTAGCCCAAAGCTTCCAAAATTACTATACCTATAGTCCAGTCAGTATTGTCGCGAAATCCGTTTTTCCTCAAACAGCTGGAACTATGCTAAAAAGTTTCTTAAGATAGTAAAGAACACTTTACATAGAGAAAAAAATGTTTCCAACCCCGGGCAAGGGTGAAAACCACCCTTAATAATCTATTTTTCCAATTATCTCAAAAAGTATACGAGATACGGAAAAAAACTTCAAATGAAAATTGTAGATCTTTTTGAAATCTACAAAACATTATTCCACCCTCTTGCCCCTATTTTCAATAGGGGAGCCAATAATCGAAGTCAAAGATTCAATACTTAAAAAGTTAAAGTTAGTTAAAAAAGTTATCTTTGACTTCGATTATTGGCTCCCCTATTGAAAATAGGGGCAAGAGGGTGGAATAATGTTTTGTAGATTTCAAAAAGATCTACAATTTTCATTTGAAGTTTTTTTCCGTATCTCGTATACTTTTTGAGATAATTGGAAAAATAGATTATTAAGGGTGGTTTTCACCCTTGCCCGGGGTTGGAAACATTTTTTTCTCTATGTAAAGTGTTCTTTACTATCTTAAGAAACTTTTTAGCATAGTTCCAGCTGTTTGAGGAAAAACGGATTTCGCGACAATACTGACTGGACTACTATCTTAATTTCTTGACTTGGCGCGCTTAAAAAATTTACGATTTGTATAAGATTCTTATTTTTATTTTATGTTATATTACAATGATATTAAATTTCAATTAATCAGTAGTTGACAATTATCTAGAAAGAGAGGCAAGAATTTTATTTAAGTGCATGAGTTACCATTAGGTATACGATTATACCTATATACGTTGGTGTCGATTCTGGCATGATTATCTAAACTTAAAAACTAAATTTAACATCAGTCTCTCCTTTTCATTCTGTATAGAGAATGACAAGGATACACTGTTGTCAAATTTAATTTTAGGTTTAGAGAATCATGCCAAAATCCACACCAGTTTAGTATATTTCTTGGGGTTCAAGATTTTTTTAATACATCTATAAGCTCTTGCGATTTCAAAGCAATAGTTATTTCGATATTATTCAATTTAGATAGTCATAGCAGGTAAGTTAATTGATATTATTGTGTTCATATTTAGTCTACGAAATATCGATATTTTGGAATTCCCGATTTCGATATTATCGATATCAGTGAATTTTAAATATCGATATAAATATCGATATTTTGGTCTCGATATTATCGATATTATTAATATTCCGATATATCGTTGCAACCCTAATCATCATCATCAGCCTATTAATGTTCCGAAGCCAATGACCGACCACTGCGAAAGTTGCTAAACTCCAACGATCGCAGAGGAATGTGCTAACAATCCGTGTTATCGAGCTCCTCTAGATTTAATTATTATCAAACTAATGACGTTTGTTTAAAAAAGTTCGTACTAAATATTATAACATAAGTAAATAAAATTATTTTTCCCATAGCTACTCGAAAAAAGGCAGTTCATTTATCAATAACAGTTAATAATTTTTTCTCTTATTTGCTAAGTGAACAATAAAAATTTGAAAGAAGCACAAGTCTTACAAATGTTATACAAAAAAATAATATTTATAATACTAATAAATAATAATAATAATAATATACTAATAAATCGTTATTGTCCATGAAAAGCATAAACAATATGATATTCTAATAATTTTCTCGAATTGGTAAATAAAGCGGTGGCTTTATGAAATCACGATGCAAGTGAACTATTAAAAGCATTAATGAAAAAGTCCTTCCTCGGCTGGGATTCAAACCCGGGCCGCCCACATACGTAGCAGGCAAACTTTTTACCATTGAATCACCGATGCTTGGCGATGGTCAGAATTTTTTAATAACAGTCAAAAAAATTACCGCGGCATGCTAAAGATGAACGTAAAAATATGTAGCGAAGTGTAATAAAAGTTACACTTGAAACACTTACAACTTACACTTGAAAAAAGAAACATCTTCGTCCTTGTATTCTTCGCTTCGCTCAAGGTTACAATCTAGAAACATTCGTTGCTACTTTCAGGATCCATCTTAGTATCTCAAATTGAATTGCCTTTTTTTGCACTTGTTGAATACCTTGTTATTTGTATACTAAAGTATCAAATTGGTATGGCGCACTATAATGAACATCGTCAGCAGCGGAATTTGGTAAAAGGGCTCTTAGCACTGAACGAAAGAAAATATTTACTTCACTTATGAGAAGGGTCAAGCCAAGTTTTCAAAGAAATTCTGAATCTTAGTTCTGACAATATTGCCAGTTACATTTTATAACCTTTTGAGTATGCTCTGACTATTAACCTTTTTTCTTTTAGAGGAATGTAGTAATGCTACATCGTTTCGATGTACCTCTGGTGATTGCTTGCCACTGACCTCTCGATGTAACCGTCTTTTGGACTGTCCAAATGGTGAAGACGAACGAGCATGCTCATGTGCGGACTATTTGCGAGCAGAGTTTTCTCAATCCAAAATTTGTGACGGCGTCGTTGACTGTTGGGACTATACGGATGAAAATAAATGTGGTGAGAAATAACAATTATTGCTTTTATTTCATTTGTTTTAATAAATTAAGTAAATGTTATTTTTTTTGTAAGTCTTTCCAATAGATATATAATATATAAACCATAGGATTGTCGAAAGAAGACGTTGTAAAACCATGTATGAATTCAAAAGATTCAGTGTGAAAAATTCCTTCGACATGAGAAGGATGACCAATATTTGTATACGATTCCGTATTAAATTACAGAATGGTGCGAAGAAGGCCAGTACGTGTGTGCGAATGCAAAACAATGTATTGATAGAAATCGAGTATGCGACGGAAACCCAGATTGTCCGCTGGGGGACGATGAGAAAAGCTGTGTCGCTCTAGCTGATGAGTTAGAGGATAACGAAGTTATCCCATACAACGAAGAAGGTGGATATTTTACCCTTTTAACATGAATACTAAACTTGTAATGTGGTTGTTTTTGAAGACTTATTTTTCCCTTTTTTATTTAGGCTTTGTCATGGTGCGAAAACGTGGTGTATGGGGACGACTGTGCGTAGATAGTTTTGCAGACGTGGTGGATCAAGCTCACAGTTCACTTAAGCTTCCCGATTTAGGAAAGGCGGTTTGCCGAGCTATGACATTCCAGTAAGTGATAAATTAAATTATTTAAAGCTTTAATGGTTACTAATACTATAATATTTTTTGTTATTAACGGGGTAATACTTACTCCGTGATCATGGCCATTCATGGCTCTTGCAACAGTGCCGAAATATCGGAGGCTCGCAAAAAACAAGGTACAAGGTAGCAACCCCGCTAATAACAAAAAATATAGATAAATTAAATTTATTTAAAAAGCGAATTTCGGTAGGTGAGTTCGATTCTGGCAGGGTTCTCTAAACTTAAAACAAAATTTAACATCAGTCTCTCGTTTTCATTCTGAAAAGAGAATGTGTTGTCAAATTTAAGTTTAGGTTAAGATATTACGCCAAAATCGACACCATTGTCTTTCAGATACTGATAGTGTTCGAAAGTGTTCTAATGATACTGGTAGCTTAACTAAATCCTACAAATCGAAGTTAAGGTAAGTTTGTATGTTTTTTACTGAATCACGCAAAAACCGCACATATTTACTCTATAACTATAACCTGCTGTGTTTACCTGTATGGCGACATAGGATCCTTTTTATTCCGACTAAAATATTAGGTTCTTGCGGGATTCCCAAAAAAGTACTATAACGCGGACGAAGTTGTAAACCGAAGCTAGCGAGTAAATAATTTTAAAGATATACAAATATGATACATACATTTATCTTCTCCTTTTCCAGTGACTCCCCGTGGACTAGAGAAGCGCGTGAAGGTCGCAAAACAAGCTCAGTTGGTTACTGGGAAGTGTGGCACAACGCAGAAGCGCGCGCCGCTGACACCAGGCTGACCTTCCGCCGAGCCACGTGCGCCAAGCGACGAGCGCTGCGGGTGCGCTGTCAAGACCTCGACTGCGGCATCAGACCACACGCTGATGCCCAGCAACCAAGGTGGGAATCAAAATTTTATATAGTTACTTTAGTACTCTTCATTATATCTGAAGGTTATCAAGATACAACATTATAAGTTATTAAAGTTTATATTAACTACATTTATAATTTCACGTTTATTAATTAGTTAGTTTAATATCATTCCATGGCTGAGTAGAGGCTAGGCACTTAAAGAGTTTCATTCGATATGCTTTGAATTGGATAAATATTTTTTTAATGACAAACAATTAAACCAACACTGCTTTCTTGCACAGCCTAAATACTTAAATTTAATTTGCATATTTCGATTCATGCGGCTATTATGCAAAAAGCCATGCGACTAACATAGCCTTACTGGTCCATGCGACGAGTTCAGACGATTTTGTGGCATATTTAGCTTTATGTAGTTGGGTAATTCGATCTGTCGTGTGATTAGTTCGGTTCATGAGGCTTGATGAGAATTTTAATATATTTTGATAAGGCTCTACAAATTCCCATCACTGAGCTTAACTACTTACTTATTTTGTTCACTTTTGCCCAGAAACGGTTTTTTTTTTGTTTGAAACGGACTAAGGTAATATGCTAGCAAAGATGATATAGAATAGAATGAGCGACACTCGCATAAAATCAACAACTCTCTAGAAAAAGAGAAAGCGTGATGCAGCCGACGCTGCTATAGCGACCTACACGAACTATTGTCGCTAATATTTTAAAAAAGTGCACAGCATACATTAATGTTCTGAACTATGATAAATACTGTGATTTGATGGCGTTTTCATACAAAAAAATGAGTCGGAAACTCAGTCGGGTTATTGTTTAGCAAGATGCTATTGAAGTGTGGCGATTCGCGAGCTAGTGTTGGCTATATTGCAAATCGCCGCTGTACTAGCCCATGCGGCGATATGCGAGCTAGTGTTGGCTATATTGCATATCACGCTGTACTAGCCCATGCCGAGATACGCGAGCTAGTCGTGTTGGCTATTATTTCATATCGCCGCTGTGCTAGCACATGCGCATGCAAACTGGTCATGTTGGCTACACCACATATCGCCGCTGTACTAGCCCATGCAGCGACTCACAAACTATTCGTGTTGGCTACATCGCATATCGCCGCTGTACTAGCCCATGCGGCGATTCGCGAGTTAGTCGTATTGGCTATATCGCATATCGCCGGTGAACTAGCCCATGCGGCGATACGCGAGCCGGTCATGTTGGCTAGGGATGTAACTGAGCGCGGTGCGCGCGTGCGCTGGAGCAGGGTGGTGGGCGGCGGTGGCGCGGCGGCTGGCGCGTGGCCCTGGCAGGCGGCGCTGTACCGCGACGGCGACTTCCAGTGCGGCGCCACACTCGTCGCCGACCAGTGGCTGCTGTCCGCGAGTCATTGCTTTTACCAGTGAGTGTGCACCTGATCTTTTTTAATGTTAGGGAAATAAGTGACATTAATAGCGCTGAGAGATGAAGTACCCCAAGATTTGTGAAATGAGTTATCATCTTTGTCAACCTATCAATGCCCCCACTGCTGGAACAGGGTGGAATATGCAGTATGAGGCATGACCATGACCTACGGGAGCGAATTGAAGGCTGCTAATAACTATGACCGTTCAATGTGAAGGTTGCTATACTTCCACGATCGCTGAACGAACGCGTTAATGAGCTATCGAACTCGTCAGTAATTACTTACTTTTATTTATATTAATCTCTCAGCAAACATTCTGTCTAACGAAGCTCATAATGCATAACTAAATCACAGTCTAACATATATACAGCCTAAAATACATACAAACCTTCACGCTAAGATGTTGTGCGGAAATAATACCTTCAGATTGCCAGCCCAACCCCTACAACAGTTTCAGTTTCATTAAACTTAACTGACGACTTTAATTTGTGTATATTAATAAGACTGTGACCATTTAGAGCAACAGAAGCGCATTGGGTGGCGCGCCTGGGAGCGTTACGACGGGGCGCGTGGCCGCGTGGGCCCTGGGAACGAGTGGCGCGCGTGCGCCAAGTGATAGTGCACCCGCGGTACGCGCCACGCGGCTTCCGCAACGACATCGCATTGCTGCGCGTCGACCCGCTGCCGTTACACGCCCGCCTGCGACCCGCCTGCCTACCACCGCCGCGCGCGCAGCCGCCCGCCGGCCGGCACTGCACCGTCGTCGGATGGGGACAGCTTTATGAGCACGAGAGAGTGTTCCGTAAGTACCAGCGCTGTTCTTACCTAGACCTTTTCTTTAAGTGTGGGAAAGGCATGACGCCTTCCTCAAGAAGCAACATGCAGGCCGGCAGGGTAAGAATGGCTGATGTGGCAGGTAGAACTGCTGTATCAACTATCTTCGCGTCTGGACTTCACCTTCACTTAACATCTGTTGGGGTGGAGTCATTTGTCGGACGTATCTATAAAAAAATAAAATAAAAATACCGGGAGTTGCAACGAGGATGTCTGAGGACTGTTCACTTCACCTACCTCTAGGGTGAAAATGAGCAGACCCTTATGGCAGAACTACACTTATCTCTCGTGTTGTGTTGTGTCTTATGTGTGACGCATCAGAGAGCTAGATCTGTTTAATACATTTAGTATGGTTAGAGTGAGAACGGAGTCGACACATCGCGAAACACAAGTATAGTTCTTACCGTACTAAATGTATGAAACCGATCGCGTCATATAACAAGACAGATAAATATTTCTGCAAAGGCACTTTACCCACTAAAACCACAGACAATACTCCTGCACCACTCACCCCACACGCACTGCGAGGACCGAGACCCCTAAAATACAGGTGTGGTTTTGACGTCAATTACGACTGGCCATGCATCTGTTGGCCTACGGAACCACCCCCCCGATGAGCGGTGCCCCGAATTATTAGGGGCACAACCCATCGCAGGAACCGGTGATATGCAGGCCAAGGGAGACCCCTACCTAGCTCTCATAGACGTAGAGAAATGGACGGACTAAGTGATACTCGCATGATATTGACAACTCTCAAGAAAGAAAGAAAACGATCGATATTGCAGCCAATGGCTAGTCAATACCAATACCTATACGAACTATTGGCTGTTTTTCGCTTCGTCTCTTTCACACTTCTGCCTAGTTTGACACGCGCAGTCCATTCTCTATATCAGTGCTAGCCCTTGATCAAGGGAGAGGAAAATACTTTTTAGCCGACGCTTCTGTTGTTTTATACTAATCACCTTTAGGTGACCCTTGCATTGAAACAGACTTAATATACTTACCTAAAATGATTTTTCTCTTACAACCGCGTTCCGAATTGTATAAACGCATATTAATTGCTTTTTTCTTTGCCAGCGGACACACTACAAGAGGTTGAATTGCCCGTAATCTCGACGGCAGAGTGTAGACGTCGCACACGCCTGCTGCCGCTGTACCGCGTCACTGAGGACATGTTCTGCGCGGGCTACGAGCGCGGCGGACGCGACGCCTGTCTCGGGGACTCGGGTGGCCCGCTGATGTGCCAGGTTAATATTATTTCTTCTTCTGAATAAAATCTCAAGCCCATGTATCGCCCGTGTTCAATCATTATTACCCTAGCGCCTTGTAATAAGCGCGCGGTCAAAATGGAACGGTCGGCGGCGAGAAATATTTGTCGATACCATGTTTTGTTGTGTACATCATCATGTACCTATCACAAATCCGCGAGGTTGCTTAATCTCTAATCTACAAAGTATTCATCCGGGACGACATACACCCATAGGAAAACAAAACTCTAAAAACTAAATAATACGGTATTTGAGCTTCAAAAAAGCTTAGAAGGTAAAGCTAAATTTAAAATAACGCCGCATTTGTTTATTTTTCGTAGGAGTCTGACCGGTGGTACATCTACGGGGTGACGAGCAACGGTTACGGCTGTGCGCGCGCCAATCGTCCCGGGGTATACACCAAAGTATCGAACTATATAGAATGGATCGAGTCCGTGATGGCAACGCACACGCCACGCAAGAACCACACACGAGTCGACAGTGGAGAGTACGAAGACGACGACTTCTACGCCGACCTAGAAGCCGCCGAGAACAGGCGAGCATCCAGAATAGACACCTGCAGGGGATACCGATGCCCTCTAGGCGAGTGTCTCGCACCTTCCAGCGTGTGCAACGGATTCCTAGAATGTTCCGACGGGAGTGACGAGTGGCAATGCGAGAAAACGCAATCAAACAACACGAGGACGCACAACCCAGATTGACGCTAAAAGCGTCCTATTTATTCGCTAACTAGTAAAACCCGCGTCGTAGACTAAAACATAATAAGAAAACAATTGAATCCGACTGATATTTTTTAAGTAGGTAGAGTAGCGTATCTATTCTTGATAAGATTAAGCGAATCCTCTTTAAGAGAATTTTTCCAACAAAATTTTATAAAATACGTCTAAATCTTTCTGGAGATTATGCCATAACTTTGCAGTATCTGGGGCTTGTAAATATAGCTGTAATATGAACGCCTGGACAATTGTTGTCACTGCACAATCGATTCTTATCCTAATGTATTTATTGAAGTTTTCCATGGATGACCTTTTCCGTTTGAATTACTTTATTATGTGAAATTTTCAAATGGACGATGTTAACCATGATAAGTATCAAATAAAAATATTAACTTATGTCTGTGTTTGAATGTTTTATTACCCTATTCTATAATAGTATAAGGTAAATTGGTATTATAATATTTTAAGGTAAATTCGAAGCAAAATCAGAAATGATTTTTTTTTAATTTCCTTCTAGTGCGATAAATCGGGCTATTAGGTAAGTACGTGCCATTTACCACTCATCCCACAAAAATAGGTATCAATAGTGAATGTAAAAGTTAGAAATAAAAGTCATCATTCTTATAAATTACTTTAATATCTCGACAAATAAATTAACAAAATGCAAATTGTAATACAATATTATATTCATCAAAATAAAATTAGCATAATAAATAAATTAGAATGCTTATTAGAGACGTCACGAATCATATTACAATTATTGGAATACAAAATGAAATTGGTGACTAATTTATTATTAATACTTCAAATCAATACACGACAATAATAATCATAAATTAAAAAAAATGTATTTTCCGATAATAACTGACGATAATGCTTTTGCTTACAAAAATAATAATAAAAAAAGTATATAATTGTTAGTCTGAAATTAGCGTAAAAAAGAACAAGAGACTCGTCAGAAAGACTGCAGGGGTTTTAAGAATCACTGATTACAAACAGCGGAAGTCAAGAAAGCAATCGTTAAAAAATTGAGACAATCACACGACTTACAACTAACTTAACTAATCCCGTACCTGGTGGTACTCCAGAGCTCGCACTATCTCAATATAAGTAATGTCAAAAATTAAAATCTCAAAAACGTGTATGTATGTAAGGAACATCTTTACATAATAATTTAAAGGCCAGTAAATACACGAGTTATAATAATAGTTATCTCTACGTCATATTAGAGTTACACTTTTAAATACTAGGATCGAGCAAAATGAGCAGAAATGAAGTCGACAACTCTTTAGATGGTGATGATGATAAAAATGGGTATAAACCCGAGAACAGACCGCCACTTACAGTAACATGATGAATTTGTGCTCCAAAGTAGTACGCGAGGCGAGCCGCCGCAGTGAACTAATATTGAACTAGACCGTGCAAAATATTTTAACATTAACAGTACCTAATTCAAGAAACTCTCGCTCGCCTCGTTAATAATTATGAATTATTCCTATATGCGCTGGCAAATTCCACGCAATCGTGCACACGTTGTAAGAGCGCGGAGAGCATAATCAGTTTTTGATTTTATTCCAATGAATGAAACGGTTGTTTGGAATTTGCGAGCGATTACATACTACTCCAAGGAAAATGTTGCTCGTCTTCGCTTCGTAGATCGGATCATATTACCAGAGACATAAAATTTTAAATTTATCCGAAAACTAAAATCGCCTCGTTTTCCTTTATAAATTACAAAGCAGCCCTTCAGCGTAAACTGCAACGCTACTGTCAAATATACGTATAGATACCAAACGAGACGACCGTAGTTTTCTACAAGTACCAAAACCCACGTAGCAACTGAAGAAGTCTGCTAATCACTTGACAAATCAATCCTGCATACAAAAGAACTTGGGCAAATTACTAAGATTAACTAAGCGAAGGCGAACAACATTCGTAAGAGTTCCGAAAACTATCTAAGCCAAAATGCGTTCCCGGGCGTGAGGCGATGATTGGGTGGGGGAGGGGCAATTAGCCCTTGTTCTCCACCGGCGTGGTGGTCAACCCGGCACCTTTGTTGAGCACCGTCTTGAACTGTTCCGGTATGGGGTGCTCAGACTGTAAGAGACACGTATTGTTAATATGTTACACTTTTATGATTTGTTGCATACAAATCTAGATTAAAGGTCAGGTAGGAATCTAGGTAAATGTAGGTAGGCTTTTTAATGTTCCATACACAAAGAATCTATTATTAAGTCTACTAGTTATCCACTTGTCTATAAGCAGGCTGAATTTAATAAATTCCCTTTAGTTATTATACTGAACCATAAACAGTAATAGATAGAATAATAGAATTATTCTAAGAACGCATTCCTGAAAAGGCTGCGACACGTCAATAAATAAATAAAATCAGTGCATCTAACCCGTTGAAATTTGTTTTATTTAGTAATAGACAGTTGAAATTTTCTAATATAGTGTTCATCTTCGCTCACACTACAATATTGACAATGTATTTCAATTTAAAAAAATAAGTGTTCTTAAATTACACAGCAATTTGACACCTTATTTACCTATTCTGCATTCATCGATTGGCATGAGCAACATGGCCGACGAGGCCAGGAGCCGATTGGGCTATATGCATACGCGCAATCCATGACTAATACCGGCCATACACACTACGAGAAATCGTTACGATTAGACTGTACAGTCCGAACAGTACCGATAAATCGTAGCGTGTATGTTATAAAACTGCATAGTTTCCTATACTAAACGAAATCGTATAAACTGTTCCGTTCGAACTGTACAGTCTGATCGTAACGATTTCTCGTAGTGTGTATGGCCGGTATAAGGGCGAACATGGTTTCCAGTAATCGGCTTTAGACTTAATGCAATGCTATCTTTTACTAAATAAAATATCATGTTTACAGTTTAAAAGGTGATGGTATGCTACTTTTAAACGACAATAACTTGTGTTTGATTTCGATGCTTATTGAGATGTTTCATCGAGCTTTTTTTCAAGGTTTTAGGTTGGATTTAACTATCTTTATTTAATCTTATATCGCGAATTTCTTCTACTACAAAATATCCGATTTGATATAAATTATAATTTTCCGTGACTTAAACAACATAAGAGCTGTTTACTTGGAATTATTTACAGGCAATTTAATACTGTAGTTTGAATGTTTTCAGAATATAAATAGCCTTCGAAAGTAAGGACATAAAACTTTATGGGGCCAATACTTCTATGACACATTTCTATCTCAATTGGAAAGTTTGGCATTTGATTGAGTAGATACAATCAGCATCAGAAAGATACGAAACCTTTTAAATACATAACAAGAACTTGGTTGAACCTGTTAAAAAGGTTAGGTAACCTCCTTTTCCCCGTAGCTATATAATCAGTACATAATAAGAGAATACATTATTTTGATCTCTTTAGATATCTGACGCTGATAATGCTTCTTTGTAACTTCTCATTGAAACACCTAACAAAGCAAAACTGTCCGACGTTAAATTAGTTCCAAACTTAATAGGATTTATGTTATTAAAAGGAACTGGATATGCTCTGAACGCAAAATACGGACACTAATCACAGGTTGTTAGAATACAAAAATAACCAAAATCTATTACATCATCAAGCTAATTATACCAAGATTTACAACTATTTAAACTAGAACGCAAAGAGAGGTTTATCAAATAAAATAGTGAAATGTTTATATTAACTCAATGTAAGTCGTAGAAAGTTACGATTTGTTATTAGTTAATTAAAATTTGCAGCTATAAACACAATGTTAATTTAATAAACTTATGAAAATTAGTTACCGATTTTCGTAGCAGCCCAATAATATGTCTATGTTGCTCGTTAAACTCACGAATTAATTCATAATAAACAATATAAACTTTTACTGTTACATAAGCAGTTGCTATGAAAGTTGAGGAGCTAACTTAACCATACCATCGCTTTCTGTAGAAATGAATCTTTTAGATTTTGCAAAAGTAATAGGTAAACCATTTTACTACCAGTTATTTTAAACTTCAATTGACGCCACATTATTGCAGTGATGCAAGAATAATTTGAAGATGGTAGGAGTCCATTTAAAAATTTGCGCCTTAACTTTTATCTGAATTCGGAATTCATTTATATTTTTTACGCGATTTTTTTCTGAATTTTCTAAAGAAATTTGGTTAATTTTGCACAAGGAAAAATTAGGAAATCACTAGGCAAAGGTTTATTTTTATATATTTGTTGCTTGATCACATGAGATAATACGATAGCAAAGTTAGATTAACCGAAGTTTCGGAAAGGATCTGGTAAATAAAAACAATAGAAAAACTTACATAGTCGCCGTTGCCCTTAGGCATGAGCACGTTCATCTCTGAAGACTTGGAGCTGACGATCTCCACGCCCAGTGACTCCGGCGACAGATAGATCTGGCAACCGTCCGTCTTGTCGATGGAGATAGTCGGCACCTTACCCAACACCTGCACGAAACGAAAATTGTCATCATCAGCCAATAATTTGAAGCTGGCGTAAAGGTTTGATCAATGCATGGACAGAGTAAAGGGTAGCTACACACACAATTGGGCCGGCATTAATCGGCACAGCCGAAATCGAATATATGGTCGAAAATTATTGCCAAACCGACTATTGCTCGAATTCGGTAGGCTGGGCTTTGGGCTTGGCCCTTTCGCTTTGGGTTCGCTTCGTGGCGTGCTTGTAACATTTTAGTACATTTGTTCACATCGCTCAGCGCATCCCTCAAACTAAACTAGCGCTCATAGTACAAAGTTAGTGGCTGAGCCCTAACATAGATAAAATTTCTATTAGTCTACACGTCTCGGTCTACCAACTGAAACTCCTTAAAAAATAAAGGAGCTTTAAATAATATTTTTGGTTAAGTATCGGATGATGACTAGACAAAACCAACCATAACTTAATTGACTGAAGAATATTGAAATAATGTTTCAACGGTATTTTCATCTGCACACAATATTTCAGTCAGTCAGTCAGTATAATATTTCAGTAGCTTCTATTTAAAGTAGCCTTTTCTTTTTGTTATTTACCATAAGCTAAAAATTAAAGCTTTTGCTAGATTTCGTAATTGTGCAAGTAGTTTTTTCACCTATTTTTTTTTTCAAAAAGTCAAACGCTACATGAAAGGTTCAAAATAAACTCCCAACTCGCTTATAAGTGAATCAATCACAATCTGAACGATTATTTTATTTCACTAACATACATAACGTTGCGATAAAGGTAATATTGGTTTAAACACGCACATGAAAGATCTTATGATATCAAACACAAAGACTCCACATGTAAGCCAATATTTGACATTCAAATGATTGCTCAGGAAAATGCTTTTCACAAAGGCGGCTATCCTTGTTCCTTTGAAAAGGATACGCAGAATCCAGCGACCCAACTTTACTTTTATATACTCGCTCCACACTGAAACATACCAAATGGGAACTCCATTGTCGTAAACTTTATAGCTCCATGAAGGCCGTAATAAAAAAACTGAAGTAAAAATTGTGCGTAAGTCAGACAAATGGAATGGTATAAAATTCCTGTCCAAAATATCTTTTATACTTTCCTATATGATTCGGAAGAGGATATTTTAGTTAGGAACCGACTAAGTATAGTCCTCAAATACTTTCATGCAGATCGGGCCCAGTCTTGATTTTGGCAAATCAAGGATTAATGCTCCTCTACCAAGATCAAGGGCACTGGAAGGAACTATATTTTATATTTAGCTTTCAGCACCCTTTTTTAAGGCTTTTGCTTAATTGTGAACAATCTTATTTTATGATATACAAATTATAATTGTTAAAACTTGCTAACACAACCACACTCTTTTCGCTCTATTTCAGGGCGGGTACTTCTTTTATGTTGAGTACGACAATTGCCGATACATCCGATAAGTAGAGCAAAAACAGTACCAAAATTTTTATCTGTTGGTTAAGCGTAGCGTACGCAGAATCGCAATTAAAAAGAGATCACTACGCAATTTCCTCTTTTATAAAATCTGCATCTTTTTTTTGTTTAAAGAATGGCAAACAAGCGTATGAGCCACATGCTGGTATGGGGCGACCATAACCTGGACGCTTGCGATACCAAAAATATCACTCGCACTATTGCTGACCCAATCCCAGACCCCGTGGAGGTGGAACCTTACACCACAGAGACAACACCAACAAAAGGTAGAGTTATTTTACTGTGATCTTCTATAAGGTGGAGGTTAGGTACTTCCCAAGACGGGCGCTCCAATTCCATCGGAAAATCCGCTATGCCCTAGTTCTCTTTAAATGAAGAAAAATAATGAAGGAATCGAAAGCGCAGTTTTTCATTTATTTTAATAAGCTGCTAAAGTAAAATACGATTAGGATTTGCATCACATTCTTCATGCACTACATCGATCGATTTTTACTTTAAAATAGCAAAGTAAAGAGATAACATCATAAATCATTTTTTGTAGGTTAAAACTTCAGGGGAAACAACACACACTTGAAAGTAATTAATGTTCAAGGTCAATATTATACACGTTTACAAGCAAATTTGCCAGAAAAAGTTATTGAAGGACACGTTAATAATGTTCCCCACCCATTTTAATTAAAAACATGCCTAATGTTGAATAAATTTAAGTTCATAGAACGACATTATTGAATTGGTAAATAAGAAAAACTTACAAATTTTATAATACTATTAAAATTCAGTACAAGAGTAAAAGCTTTTTATTATAGTTAATAATGTATCCATTTCATTTTATGAACACCGGTTTCTTCCTCTTTTAAAAGTGGTTTTATTTAAGAACTAGTGGCCCGCCTCGCTTCGTTTCGGTGTAGAGCTGTAGTGTAGACTATAGTTTTTGTTCTCAGGCGTGTATTGTACACAATGAATTTATTTATTTAATTCTTTTTCTATGATTCTTTTTTTATTGAATAGGTAATAATGTTAACTTTTTTAAATGAGGGATGAGTGAGAGTATTATAAACGTAAGAGTAAACAAATATAATCAGAATGCTCCGAACTGTTAAGCTATCAGGAGTTACACGTGTTATTGTGAGTCAACCATAAAACATAGACATATGCTGTTGCGGGATAGTTTTTAGACAATTTTATGTAGAATATTTCCGTCATACATGATTTCTATGTAACTTTAACCATTAAGGCTGCACACGCGACGGCAGCTTAAAAATGGAGTAACTTCTCCCGTTTTCCCAACATTTCCCTTCAGTACTCTGCTCCTTTTGATTGTAGCGTGATGAAAAGTATACTATAACCTGCCCAGGAGTATGAAGAATAATTGTACCAAGTTTCGTTAAAATCCGTCGAGTACTTTTTGTTTCTATAAGGAACATACAGACAGACAGACAGACAGACAAAAATTTTACTGATTGCATTTTTGGCATCAGTATCGATCACTAATCACCCCCTGATAGTTATTTTGAAAATATATTTCATGTACAGAATTGACCTCTCTACAGATTTATTATAAGTATAGATAAGAGTAGGTAAGCAAATAAATCCACTATTTTCATTTGTCTACATTATTGTAGGACAAGGTTAGCAATAATGAGATTTACCTATACGAATTCCGCAAATTTTAGGCAAAATCATATGTCCATGCTCTGTGTGATTTGCATGTTTAGGTCATCGCAGCGCTACGTATCAATCATACTTATCTTAACTACCAAGTATACTCATCAAACTAAATACATAGGACCTACAAATGGATTTTTTAATAGGGAACATAGTACGAAAACACCACCCACACTTTTGAATGTAGCGTAAAGAAATAATTTTGAATAAAGAAAATGTTATTAGTAAATGTCATTTTTTTAAAGATATTTAGATTTTATAAACTACATACTTACTTCTAGAGCAGGCGTTCTGAACTCGCCGACCCGCCTAATTAGATTTCTTCCGATGGTAATTTACATAAAGAATTGATAAAAAGATCGAGAAGACTAAATCATATTCAAGAAATAATTCTACGAAGAAATGGAGATTAGTTGTTCTTATATTATTTTATCTCAGTGCAAAATTTTCAATTCTCAGATACAACTTATATATCTGTAAGGTACAGTATTACTTACACAACTAAAATAAAGCTGTAATTTAGTGTTATATTATTAATGTATTACTTACTCAATAAATGAAAATATTGGCAAAAATGGTACGTATAAAAACCCTTTCATGCATTGGTTACGTTTAACAAATTAATGTACCTAAAAAGAAGTCTACTTTTATTGGCTGTATCAAATTAAATAAAAAATCTGTGAATGAAACGTATATCTATATTTTGAAGAAATCGATTACCAAGGAAAATTACCAATCGTTTTAATTCGAAGAATGACGTTTAAATCTCACGTAGCATTTTTATGACAGCGAAAAGAATAAATAAATGATAAGTATGACAAGAAGAAAAATATGAGAACATGAGATGTCGTCGGCGCGATAAATAGTTTTCGAGAGTTTTTCAAAATCAGTCTATTCTTTTACATTCTGATCTGTTGTGAGAAATTGTATTTATTTGTACATTATATTATACATATTTTTAAATGATCCTAGTTGCGGTATTAGTGATTGTTCTGCTGGCTTTTCGAGTATGGCATGTGATGGAATCGCAAGAGGAGCAGGACACTAAGGTCCTAGCTAACGGCAGTGACTCTGGTTTCGCACAACTCTGGCACCATTTCGTCGAACAGTACGGAATACCTTTAGGTCACGTTTGCGTCAGTTTCGTCTATTCCGTGTACACGCGATTCACACTGATCAATGTGGTGAGTATTCTGTAGATAAGAAACAGTAGTACCTAACCTGGGTATTTTACATTGTAATAATAACTATCCGGGTAACGAAGTGGTAGTAATTTATGAAGTTATTGAGATAACGAATGGCGCTGTAGATTATTTTATATAACTGGGTTGAGTAATTTGTTTCTACAAAAAAAAGCTTTTGGTATATGAAATAGTGGATAAAATAAAAATAGTTATCATCGATAACCACGTATTTATTTACTTTTTTTTTCAAGCGATATATTCGCTTATACACGTTTTGAAATCAGTTTTCCTTATAAGTACAATGTTATTCGAACACCGTCATGACGACTATTGTAATATAAATATTCAGCGACTTGTTTAATTCACGATTCACAAAGTAAAATGATGGAAGCGGTATTATTTTATCGGGAAAGGAATAAAGAGTTCTCTCGTGGTGTTTGTTTATAATTTGCAGACAATATTTATTTTGAAATACGTACCAACGGGACTGTATATGTACAAGTTTCTGAGGAACATTTACACAACATCAAGGGAAAGGATAAAACAGAAGCAAATGGAAATCGAGGACATCCAACTTCAGGTAAACTTTCCTCTTACATCGATCATTGAAACTTTTCACTCTCTATTATATGACCCCTTTTAAGTTAAATTTCCACAACAAATATCAACGCTTTCGACTATAGCTTCAATTTATCGCCATAAAAAAATTAAATCGAGTCGTTGTTGGTTTGAAAATTGTCTAGTACCAGAGGATTTCGAAGTTACTTAAGCCATCCAGACGTTAATCTGTGTTCCACTTTGAAGGGAAAAGATAGGCGATCTCATAGATATGAACAAGAGCAAAATTCAAATAGACAAAGTACGTGCCTTTTTCTCCTAGCAGCAGAATTCACTGACATCTTTTCGAGGAACTAGCATAACCCCACTGAATTCCTCTGGTAAATTAACACAAAGCTCTCGTGACTGCAGTCAGTCAGCTTGCTAAAATTTCGTACTATTAACTTCCTATTGTATGTAAGCATTCCTGTATAAATTTCAAATCACACCGCGGATTCCACGGTGAAAAGTGAGGTTGTTCTTAAAAATTAGCGCTGCAGGTCAGGAGCCTGGTCCGAAAAACGCAAGAAACAGCTAAATCGCGCGGAAAACTAGATAACTACTTAGCCGTGGGAGAAAATATGTGAAACCATGTTGATAGCACTTTTATGTACCAGCAGATTCAAATTGTGAACATCAGGCTTTGGCTTTGCATTCGAGACGCAGAGTTCACAAAGCTGCGTAGCGAGGAAAACTAGATACCTAATTAACCTTGGAAGAAAATATAAAATATATTAAACCGTGTTGCCGTGTGTGTTTGTGTTTATGTGTACAACATCAACGACATTAAAAACCTACAGATTCAAATTTTAAACACAAGCTTTGCGATCGAAACGCAAAGTTCAAAAATCTGTGTCGCGGGGAAAACTAGATACCTACTTAATTTTGGAGAAAATAATGAAACCGTGTTGATTGCAATTTTATGTGCCTACAGATTCAAATTGTGAACAACAAGCTATGCGTTCGAGACGCAGAGTTCACAGAGCGGGCGGAGCAGCTGCGTCGCGAGGCAGACCGTTTGCGCCAAGTGCGTGCGCGTGTACGTAAGATCATTGCGACGGACGAGGCGCTACGCCGCGCGCTCGATGACTCGGCAGCACTGGACAGCGACGATGTCGACGTACATACTACGCCTGAAGAAGGTCATTTTCACTAATAAGTAGTTACTTTCATTAAGAACGGCTCGGCTACGACATTGTCGCTATTATCGACTAAACCAAAATCCATCGCGCGCATAAGCGTCTAGCAGAGCGAAACGGCTTTATGACGCAAACTATAATCGAGACCTATGATACCTTTCTGTTTAAAAAGCAAAATTGGAAAATTTCTCTCTAGTTGCGGTTCATTTTACACTTACCATCAACGATATTAAATACCCTAGATACACCTACATACACATACTAGTGCCCGAAACCTTCAAAAGGTACATTCGACGATCCACGGAACTCCGTAATATGATCGCGATCGAATATAAGGCAATATTATATTCGATCGCGATCATCATAACAATAAAATATTGAAAATCACCTTTAATGCATACTGTATAAGGTCTTAATTAAAACGCATGGGTCAAAGAGTACCGACCATGCATTTGAATATCACAAATATTTTCTATTAAATCAGTTTATAGTAAGTATTAGAACTTCATTTTGCTTCAAATGCGTTTAATTTACAAACATTCATTAGATACCTGTCGAAAAAACGACACTTTACATACTAAAAGTATTATTTTCGCATTTTTTCACTGAGCTCTGCGGCAACTTGACTTTTCAACGGTCACGCTGTGAACCAAGAAGTGCTTGAGTGGTGTTCAACACTTCTTGATGGTGTATCTAGGGTATTTAATATCGTGGCTTACCATCGCTAACTAAATCCTTATATCGACCAAAATAGGTTCTTTGCATTAGCAGTTTTTATATCACTACGAGACGTGAATATCTAGCCCCCGAGGAATAATAAAAGGTCGTCAGAAGTTCATACGACATAATTATGCAAGAGCCCCAGCTCTAATGTGCTCGCTTCAATACCTATCTACTCACTATACTGTGGAATATCTCATTCCATGTTGAAAGATATTTGATATGGTGAATTAATTCATACATTTAATCTACTATATAAAAATAAGTCGGGTTTTCCTTCCTGACGCTATAACTCCAGAACGCACGAACCGATTTCCACGGTTTTGCTTTCGTTGGAAAGGTCTCGGGCTCCGTGAGGTTTATAGCAAAGAAAATTCAGGAAAAATTTCAAACCAAACGAAATGTTACATAAAACGAAGCCATCTGATGGTGAAACGGAGTTCGCCTGGTTTGCTAGTACTGTATATAACAAGAAGAGTCTAGACAATATTATAGTCTCAATTTGAAAATAGTAAATATTTTCAAACATCTAAATGTAAAGTAGGTAGGTAGATAGATAATCTTAATAAGAATTCAAGTTAGACAATATCAATAGCAGTTTATATTTAGTATGCTACACAACTTTTCATCTTTCAGATCGGAAGTTTATAGTTGAGATGCTGAAGGGTTTGAAAAATGTCACGATACCAGAGCGGCACGAAAAGATGGAATGCGGAGAGTATGCTCAGATCAGTCATAACAGCCCCGAGAACAGCGTGTACTCATCACTGAGTGATTTGGACATTAAGCAGGATTGTCGCGTCAAGATTGTGAAGGTCACAAACGTGTACAAAGTGGCGTATTTGAAACATTTCATTAAACAAAAGCGACTGCGGCGCGCCCAGAAGCACGCATTATTGAAGAAAAGAGTAAGAATATTATTATCAATCATTCCCCTAATAAAAGGAACAAATAACTATCGACAAACACAACATTTTACTTTATTCCTGTTGAAGATAATAGCTAACGAGCCACGAATATGAGCCACTCACAAAAGTACTTATGTAGTTTATACTATACCACTTACAGAATGGCGGAGTACAAGAGAAGAAATATAAATGATGAACTCCCAAAGCTATACCTCAATGTTTAATGTGCCTGTCTTTCACTGATAAAAGTAAATAAAAAAAAACAAATATACTTTATTTCTATAACCAATATTATGCTAGTGATACAATATTTGAGAAACCCTAGTGAATGAATGGAAAATAGCTGGACGAATCATAGTAAGAAAACAACGCAAAAGTTTTCTGGATTTCTGAAAACAGTATTTGACTTTCAATACAAAAACGCCACTTCTCTCAATTTTCTTTTTTCAGTGGAAGAATTTGTATATGCCGCGCTCGCGATGGAGGGTTGGCATAAGTTTTTGCCTGAACATAATGAGATATTAATAGACTTAAGTTATTTTTCTACATGGAATATTAACTTTTGCATTAGAAAGAAATTATGTACTTATGCACAAAAAGTGTAGGAGAGAGGTTACATAATCTTCCACCCAAGTAATTAGGAAATAATTTTCGTGTTAGACAGGCCTCCAGCTGGACATCGTTATTTAATGATATTGTGTTTGACAGTTTACTATCATACACCTTTGGAATCTAAAACGTGGGTCGTGTCTGTCTGTATTTCGTGAAGTTGTCCGCAAATTTTAAATTAAAATTTGGAACGTATAGAATCATGCCTATCAAACACCCCAAATTCGCAAGAGTCGCTAATTCATGGTTTCAAAATTTTCTATTTTCAGATGGAGTGCATAAAAAACCTGCTAGAAGATTGGCAGAAATCACTGAGTACGGTTATAAGCAACAACATGACCATTCTGAACATGGAATCGAGAATCGACGCCGCATCACAAGAAGCGATGGGCGACTACTCCAAGCCTACGCTGCGAGAGTATTCGGATTCTGACAGCGATCTGCGCAATGGCTATGATGATGCGACGCACGATGAATACAACCACAGTTGGGCGCAGAACACCTTCCAAAATTGCAGTTTCAATTATGAGGTATGTTCATTCTAAAAATATTATATCTTCTGCCTTCGAGGACGAGTAACTTTTTATCGAGTAACCTCAAGAAAACCATACAGATTTTGAAAAGTAAGCAATGTCTTTTACTTATCCACGACTGTAATAAATCTCTCGATACTGTTTCGGATAGCAAAGCGTTGGCGTAATCGGTGCCCGAGGCCCACCCGACTGATTAATGTTTTTTGGCTTTTTACTTATTTACCTAGAATAAAGAATTGGTAGAGTTTGACAAATTTTACTAAGCAATTTTTATCGTTTCCACACCGCTAAAGGATAAACCAATAGCCGCTATTTATATCGTTTGCATGTGCGTGTTGTTTATTAAAAACCTAATGAACATAAAGACTAAAATTCTCAATGGACTCATAAAGCTAAATAACAAAGTTTTCTTAACAGAGGGAGTGTTACTTTTCAAATTGTAGTAAGTAAACAAGGTTCCGAGCTAGTAAGTCGGTATTCATCAGAGCCATCAAAATAGTAAGAAATAGAATTTAAATGATTCAATAGAAAACTAGCGATGACCTACAACTCCGTTTGCGCAGAATAATAATGTTTTCCAATACAAAATTACGTTAGAATTTATATGTCTCTCTGTTCTGTAAGTGGACCTTGGATAATCACAATACATTGTCATTTGAAGAAGACAAGACGGACGGACAGATTGACATATTAAGGCAGTTGTCTCACCGAACCGTCGAAGATCAGCGAGAAGCGAATACAGCGCTCATACTTAGCAACTACGCACGAGTTGGCAGCGAGAAACGACTGTGTAGTTCCGACAGTTTTGTCGCTTTACTATATAAGTGAATGTTGTTGCGTGATTAATCGCACCACTCACTCGCAGGTCCTGCGTAAACCGTTGTTAGTCTCGCGACTCACGTATGGACCACCTAAAAAGCGTCACAGAGCGAGTATTATGTTTATATAACTCGTGTCGTTACGAAAAACCAGTGGTGAGAAAGTTATTGCAGGACGGTAGTGTGAATAGCCAGCGATAAACTTATTAAATACATGTGTCACTTCACGGGATTTTGTATCTTTTGTTTTGCAGAGGGTTATTTCCTATCTGGATAACTTGGAGTGGAACTATTGTACTTTACTGTCATTTGGTTAGGTGATTCTGCTAATATCGATGTTTCTGTAGCTATAACAGAATAAATTGCTCTGCCCTGATTTCGAGAAATCAAAGTATGTGATGTTAACTTAGTTTTTAAATAATGAAATCTAATATATATGACATGTTCATTCACTAAAAGAAAATATTATAATATTTTACGAGTAGCTGTATGAATTATAACTAAAATGCGTGACAATAACTCTTAACAGTTGACGTCAGCGGAAGATCTAAGTAACTTCGCGCTAAGTAATACCCAGCTATCATGAACATAGCGCTACCAGTCTTTTAGCTGGTGATTGGTCATCATTAGTAGCTCATTTATTTTGTTAACCACTTCTTAGTTTCGACTTTATTTCAAGAAATGTGAGATTCGGGTGTGATTTTATTAAATTTAAAATCACATTGCGTGTGGAATTTATTTTAATAGCTAGTCTATAATTATTTTAAAGTAAATTCCTACAAATATCTTGACATAAAGTCGGAACTACACAGCAGCATGCTAGATTATAAATGTCAAATTATTATTATTTTTAATTTCGCCCGGTTGCGAAAGTGGCCGGCTTGAATCCTGTCAGAATGCCTGGACCGCATGGAATTACACCTATCATTATTTCATCAAGTAGGTACTTTTTCAAAATATAAAAGAAACCAAATTACTTTTCAGGATATTCAAGAGCCTGGGCTGCATCGCGAATTTTGTGAGCCTCAGGACTTTTCCGACGTGAAATATCCCTACCACGTCATACAGCCATGCGAATGCCACGGCCCCAGAGGTGACCGCAAGCTCTGCGTCCTCCCAGAAGAAACCATCAGCCAAATGGCGATAGAGAAAATCAAAAACGAAGAAGATTGCCAGACGTATGCCGATGCCGTAGTGTGATTATATATATTGTTATTTCAGATATTGCTTATTAGCATATGATTCGTTTTATTTATTAGTAAATACAGGGAATAAAATAATACAAAATCGTAAACGATTCGGATTACAAATAAAGCCAGAGATATTTTACGTAAGAACACCGTTAAAATTAATGTTTTGAATATCAGTATGGTGTTCTCTCAGCGCAGCGACATTCAAAGATTTTAGATTATAGGTTTTTAACAATGAAAATGATTTTTCGTTTGGTCCGTGATACACTGAGTTTTAGGGCCACGAAGACCTACGAGTGCTCAAAAGACGCGGCCCGACCAAAAATCGTGTGTTTTCACAGAAAATTTCCGATATCTCGAGAACGGGGCCGAATTTGAAAAATATGAAAAAAGCACCTCGGTATTTTAGGTCATTTTCCATATTGGTAACGGTTGAGGCTGTAGAGGTGCCCTTAGCCGCGAGTTTAGCGCGGCGCGAGGTGCGATATCACGCGGCGGGCGGCTCGCGTGCGGCCACGAGGACGTATGAGTACTTAAAAGACGCGGAATCTGTAGGGCTTTAGGATGATGTAAAAATATTTTGGAAAAATTGGTTTGAAAAAAAAATTTTTTTGGTATTAAATTTTTTTTTTTTAATAATCTATAATAGGTAGATTCATTTTCAATGCCCTTTCAAGTCCTGTGGAGCACGAGATCTGTGATTTTTTTTTAAAGAAGTCCTCAGCATTAGATGGTTCAGAATCAAAACAAAGAAATAAAACATCCTTTCTTTAGTAAATTAAGTTTATTAAGTCGTGAACCGAGCCCCTATAAAAACAACATCCAAGGTGTCCCTAGACGATCATAGAGCATGATAACACGTCATTTGCGTGTCATGCCGCATAGGACGTCTTTGCACACATCTTTCCCTTCGTTCACATTAGAACATAAAACGGTGTACCCACTTCTATTTTAGAAATGCCGATAAAGCTACAAAATAGAAAGTAGTCCCGTCATCCTCGAAAATAAGTACCTAAATATTACGCAATTGATTTCAACGAAATTGTTGTAGTCGCGAATAAACTCTACTTGAAACTTCGTGAGAATGGCTGTAAACGTAACGTTAACGCATGCGTAACAGGAACGGCTCTGCATGAGCGCGGTAGTTACGTACTTTGTGCTACAATCTACAACAAAGACAGAGAGAGAACGGACCAAATACTCCTTAGTCTGTTGTTAGATAAATTCGATCGCGAACTCTGTCCACTTGATCGCTTCGTCGATATCGCTTTCTCTCTTCCTCGAGAGTAACCAATTTCATGCAGGCATTGTTCAATTTAGTCTTACTGACTGGCAGTTGACGAGCTCAATGCTGCAGACCAGATTGTCGAATACGGCAGCGCACTTGTATACAATGTACAAGTCAAGCACTACGCCGTTGATCTGGCCTCTAACGCTTTCTTTTTAGAGATTTATCGATTTCATGCAGGTATTGCTCAGTTGAAAGGAGTACGTAGCGAGGAGTACCGATGGCCGTTGGGGTGGAAAGTTTCTCGAATGGCGACAACGCACCGAATGACGATCAGTGGGTAGGCGGCCCCGACGTGGTAGACCAACGATCTAGCGAAGGTCGCAGGAAGCCGATGGATGTGAGTGGTGCAGAACCGATCTGTGTAGAGATCCTTGAGGTAGGCTTATGGTCAGCAGTGGGCGTCGTACGGCTGAAATTATGATGATGGAAATCTATGATCTACAATGGCACTGACCTGCATCTGCACAGACTGGCAGTTGACGAACTCCATGCTGGAGACGAGGTTGTCGAACACGACGGCGCACTTAGTGCAAGAGTCGAGCACCACGCCATTGATCTTGCCGCGCACCGTGAGCGCCGAGTCGCGGCATCGGAACATGTACACGACGTTGTTCATGTCCGCGTTCTCGACGACCAGATTCGAGTTGCCCTTCTGGTATTCCTGTGCAACAAATGAAAAAAAATCTTAACACCTATCATTTTTTTACTTTCTTTACATAAACACCTTATTGAACTTCTCGTATGCATTTGTTTAAGAGAAATTGCGACATTTTAAATAGGACAGGCCGTAACGTGCAAAGATGTACCTGTTCAGAGATTAAAGTTAAATAGAAATAATTCATATTGCACTTCTATTCAAATATATCATGAATTACCAGGAGACTTTAGAAAAGCGACCCATTTTAAATTAAAATAAATACTTCACAATTTCATAATAAATTGACAAATGCTATTATTCTGTAAAAGATTTTAATTCTGAAAATTTTTAATGAAAAATATACAATATTTAAATATAATTTAATGAATTTGACATTATAATTATTGTAATTTTCACTTTTGTTTGTTTCAATAATATTTAATTGACATTGATACTTCTTTTCAGGAAATATGTATGTAAAGGACATGGACGAAATCGGCCCTAGCATGCCCAAAAGAATGTCCTTCACTATTATTTTTCTATTATTTTTTTAACTTATTAGGAATTAATCAAAGTAAACGGACAATCTGTTTAAAAAAATAAAAGTTCTGTTACTAGATACTACAGTCTGTTCATTCAACTTGGCACTCCTTTTTATTGAAAATACAGCATTAAAAATCAACTGATAACTGGATTCAATAGGTTTCAGTCTATATTAACGATTTATTTTAATAGTTTATTGGCTTCGTTAATATTTTATTATTAAATGGGTGATTCTGTTAAAAAGTTGTGCCAAGATTGTTTACCTTGGTAATGCAATATAGGTGACCATTGGTATTTATCAACATAAAAATAGAACTAGGTACCTTAGTTTATAATACTTATTACTAGTATTTATATTATATTTGTAAAAAGATTATTTCTGAAATTATCTAAAGATAGTTTATACTCCCATCCCATGTAATATCTGTTTATTTTTATGAAAATCATAATGATAACCAGGTACATACCTAATTACCGATAGTAAAATATAGAAACAGGTAAATGGAAAGATTGAACATTTCATTTGAAAAGAAATCTATCATTACCTACTACAGGTAGGTATATGTATCATAGGTGCCAACTGACAACACTCATAAATCAATATGAATATAAGCATTTTTAATTGCATTTTATGTTCATTTAATGCATATTATTTAAACACTAAATCTATTCAGAATATATAAAGTGTACATCTTTTACGATTAAGTATAATAATTATAACCTCAAAATCGAATATATTCTGTAGTAGGCCACGGTACCGAACACAACTAGCATTTTCTCATTGCTGGGCGTTCTAGGGCATTCAATGTATGGGAAACGAGCAATGTCCTTTGTGACTTGCTTATCATGTATTTACTTTACTTAACTTTAAACTAATATTTGCACGCCATTTGCATATGTAACATATTATGGTTATTCTTGGGGAAAGCGATTTCGATAAAAAATATGTGCGTAGTTAATCGGATGGTTTAGATTTCAGATTTAGAACTTAATATGAAATCCTACCGGTTCTTTGGAAGGGTTTTTTATTCAAAGCAAAATATGTTCAGACATGACAACGTTTGATGGGTTCGCTAGTGCTTGATAATATATTGAGAATGTATTACATTATTTCATTACTTTCTACTAGAGCCACGCGAGGTAGCTAAGCGTCTGTACTAAGCAAAGTAAAGTAAGTGATCAGTGGCGTAATCCTATTGGTCAAATTTTACTTCGCGCAAGCTTGGATACCTGACATTGCTCTGAAAGCAAAGCAGTTTTAGAATAAATATGATAAGTACGATCCAACATAGAACAAATATTGAAATACTTTTCTTTGAAAAGCCCAGACCGAATTTTCCAGATTTGCTGATAAAATAAAAAAAAATAAGCACATAGGTAATCCCTGAGTCTAGTTTGCTTAAAATACGAGGGAGTTTAGTCAAACCAATGGATTGAACTTATAACAAAAACATTAGGTTATTTAACTAAACCAAGCTTTAGTACGCAGGCACCCTTTTATGCTTCATGACAAGCCTTTCTTATTTCCCCGTCAAGCTTAGAGAAACTTCTTGATGAGGGTACAACAACATCTGCGAAATTTACCGAGCCAAGTGTACCGACTAAGCAGTTTATACTCTTTAAATCAATGACAATAATTTTAACTGCTATATTTTAATATTTTTTTATAAAATTGCAGATTAAATATTGACTCGGCCGGGTCAGCGGGACTTGATCAAATTACATATTAAGTACCGTAATGTCGTTAAACCCAGTGATATTAAATACTACTACCATAAACGCGGGTATGCATTACGCATGTTTACTGGATATTCTGTGGTTGTTGTATCAGAACTCATTGTTATTTTACATTATGTGGATGATGGAAGTTGAACTTAATACATGATTACAATATATTTGTTCCTTAGGTTTTCATGCACATCACTCATTAAGTAAAACAAGTTTTAACGGGTTAGATGACGATTCGCACCCTTTGAAGGAATGCTTCGTCAGAATATTTAATTTTTATTTACTTTGTCGAGCTACCTTCGAAAAAGTCATTCGAAAGACTTTTTTGAAGGTAGCTCGACAAAGTAAATACAAATTCATTATTCTGACGACGCATTTCTTCAAAGGGTGCGAAACGTCAATAAATAAATAAAATCAGTGCATCTCACCCGCTGAAACTTGTTTTATTATATGATTATAAGTAAGACGTCATCTTTAAATTAAGAAAGAAATAAAACAGGGAGAAAAATGCAGCCCTTGCTGAGTTTCGTGCTGGTTCTTTTCAATACTAAGTCTCCCACCGTAGATTTAGACGTACTTGTAAAGACTGAACTGAATGATTGGATTCGAATTTTGAATTTATGGTACTTACAATGAGCCACTTCTTGCCGTCGCGTGTGAACACCGGCGGCTTATCCGGCAGAGTGCCAGCTCCGGGCTGAGGCAATTGTTTGAGGGGAGCTCCGCGCGTTGCCGCCTTGAAGGGCGCAGGGCCCGTGCGCAGCTGAGGGTTCTTGTGAGTCTGCATGTCCGAGGTTACCTTACGCAGGTCTGATGAATACATACAACTTATTAGATTTCTTGTGGGTCTGCATGTCCCAGATTCTGACGAATACAAACGTGTCATAGTAGTAGTCGTAGTGAGGAATATGTGAAATGCAGGAATGGCAAGGCAAAATGAAAACTTAATGGCGTTGGTTGCGATTTTGATAAATCACTCAGATACGAAGCTTGATTTATCAACTTTTTTTTATAATTGATTACGTGTCATTTCCTTTCGATTTTTATTGAGACTAGACTGATTTATACCCCTTTCGAAAAGTGTTCTATATAAGTGGCGTACACTGAAAAAAGTAATTTACATAACTAGTTGAGAAAACAGATGAATAGCCAAACTTTCGTTTTGTAAATTTTACATAACTGTTTTGTATTTAATGGATATCGTCTGATGTGTTTATTACAGTTTATTTCTTACTAAATTACACTTTAACTTTAATAATCCTTAATATAGTTTTATTTCAATAATATTAATTTACTAACATTTTATTATATACAAATTTTCTAAAATAACTGTGTTGTTATAACAACAAAGATATATTTTAACAAAACCGAGTTTGTGTACTAGTAACCATAGTTATGCAGTCACTATTTTTATGTGATATGTAACGATTTTTTTTTTGTTATAAGTAACTCGGAATTTTCAGTGCACGTAAAAACGTAAGAAATCAGTAGGCTGCTGTGAAGTTAACTAGCACAGCGGCGCAGTAAACAAAATTTTGATGAGCGCGGTGTTTCACCGAATGAGAAACCTGCGCATAGTTGCGCACGTACGTTACTAACTTTACAATCGCCATAAAGTTTACTTTACCACACAGCCGCCGGCAATTTATAGGCGAATAAGGACAATTCATTTCATCATATTCTTTTATCTTACATTTTTATGAATTGGCTTTCTTGTCGGCGGGCGGTGAGGCAGGAGCCTCCGCCCGCCGATAAGAAAGCATTATATACATATAGCACTTCTGTATACACGAATTACAAATTGATAGAATGTGATCGTAAAACAAACACCAGTTTTATAAATTTTAGTGAACGTGCTTAAAAAACTTCGATTGAAACATAATATTATAAAAATACAGTATCAGGAGGTAGTGTATGAAGATGATTCAATGTGTGTGTAAACCGATAAGAAGAAACCAAACCAGCTTTTAAGGTATAAAATTGCGTGCACATTGCATGTATGTATGTATTCCGTGTAGCATTTGCGTGAAATATATTTAAAAACTAAAATCTTTAGAAAGACCCATTAATTTCGAAATTCAATTAGAATCCATTTGAACTGAAATCGTCAAACAAATCCGATCTAAGCTCTTATTCTGCAAATTTTCATTATAATACGCTTCACACTCCCTCTCTCTCTTTGTAGGGACTCCATTGTATATTGAATTTTGATAGTATCGCTTGTATAAAATGTAAATTGGAAATCCATTTTGTACATTGCTAGCCAAATTGAAGTTGCACGCAAATAGGCGTATTTACTAGGACATAAATGTCCGTGGCCCGGGGCGGTAGGCTGTGAAAGGCGCCGCTGACGCCAAATTAAGGCAACTTTTTGTAGACTAGGAAATAAATAAATAAAAAGGCACCAAATAGAAAAATACGAAGCTGCTTGTACGGATCAAATTTAGATGTCTTTTTTCATAGATTAACCAACCCGAGTTTATAGTCAATTATGCCACGACATTATTTATAAGTACTTAATATTGCTCAACTTATAGATATTAACGTCATAATGTTACGGTTTATTGCCGGCCCCGAACAGTATTTACGAGTCGATATAAGCTCAGGCGGGAGTCACGAAATGTCTTTCAAATTGTAACGAAAAAGTGTCGTTACTTTTGATAAAGTCAAGTATGATAGTCTAACAACGAATAATGCTCTCTCTACTAACTAATGGCCAGTTTCAATAATGAAACTCAAGTAAGGGATAGGCCTATTAGAACTTTGTTGCTTAGATATTTACATTTACATTAAAAAACAACCTTTGCTAGGAAACGAAACCAAATTAACGTAATCTTTTACTAGAGGTTGATTATTGAAACTGGACGTAAATAAACTAGTTCATATAAATATTGAGTCTAAGGGATGATACGGTTTACTAACTGCTGGTAATATTTTCTCCTTGATTGATCTCCGCGAAGAGTGCGCTGCGGTCGTCCAAAGACATGTTCGAGAAGTCCACTTCGGGCAACACCGGGGGTGGGGGCGGCATACCACCCGGTGGGGGCGGAGGGGGGGCGCCACCTTTTCCTAAAGTTTAACAAAACGCAACTTACCAAATTGAATCGCTAAATGCTGATAAAGTCTGGAGGGCTGTCGTGCCGTGACGGCCCCGCTGATACGCTAACTCAATCGAGTTGTAGGAAATTTTGAAATCTTTTTTTTCCTTGTCAATCCACTTCGTTAAATGTTTAACTGGTAACGTTGATTGGGGAAAAAATACTACAAAGACTCGCCGTGGTTTAAAAGATCTCGATTAACATGACGAATCTTTTTTATTTTTATTCCTAGAAAGAAATATTGAAAATAACTTAAAATTTAATTGCGTTTTGGCTTTCAATTTTGTGCAATGGCGGCTTTGCAAAGAATATAAAAGCAACCACAGCGAAAATGCTTTATTGCAGAATTTGGCTGTCACGTTGGTCGACAGTCAAAATTCTTCAATAAAGCATTTTCGCTAAATGACTTTGCTTAGTTACCTCCTTGGGTAATTTATTATTCCAAATGTCGTCTAAAACTCCAAGCAAGCAAAGCTATAGAATCCGCGTCCATAGTAGGTAATAGTCATTTCAAGCACGTGTTTTTACTTTATTTAATATTAAACTAATGTTTTTACTAGTTTTATAATTAAATGATCATTGAAACATACATAGGATACAGAAAGAGAATATCTGCTAGCATATTTCTTCAAACAATCGAAACGTTTAAGATTGGGCTATCCTTGAATTGAAATTGAAATGCATTCGTAGTAATCTGTGGCATTCGTGCATTCTCGTTTCGGATTACCTGTTGTGTATGTTTATTTGCGATTGTTTTTCCTTTAATTTAACTATTTCGGCTATCTAATATGCCATCGATGTTACAAAATAGCAGAGACCTTATTACTAAGTGCTAGAGAACCTGAACAACAACATCCTGAGAGGATCATACTGCCAAATTATTCAAGAGCAGCTGATACACATTCACGCTGCATATTTACACAATATACATGTGATATACAAATAAATACAATATACAATATGATACAATTATGTGAAAAATAGTCAAAAAATAAGAAGCAAAACTACAGTTTTTATTTTATTCATGATTCCTACCTAACCAAGTTTTTCCTAATAGATATTCTTTAAAATCGCACCGAATAAAAATGAATTAGTTGTAATATTAATTCAGTTCATACTAAGTTCATAGGTTGACCTATGTTTCATTTAATATTAAACAAAACCTCAAAAAATATTTAGTTTTCCTGATAATTTAAGTTCTCAGAAGTGTCCGTCAATAATCTTTGTTTTTACAGTCATTTGCTTGCAATTTCGAACCTAGACAATAATATTTCATGATTGTTGGATGATTGTTGGTTCTTAGGCTAACAATGCATGGACGCAGAACAATGTCCTTTTATTTCAATTTTTCATGACATCCCATGAGTTCTCAATCGTCCTCATATGAGTATGTACCATGTGGTAAAACCTAAAACGTAACTGGTAGCAACTAACAACCGCAATGAGACTGAGTCCTGTTTCCGTTTTTGCATGAGATCGCAAGCAAATCAAAATAGTTATGGTAGTTCAAAACGGGAGATGTAGCAACTATTCGTATCAGTTGTAAATGTGTTTACTATGTGTTGCGTCTGTTGGTCACGTAGACTGACCGTTTTAAAGATACGAGGGCGGGATGATAAGTAACTAGCCTCTGCTATTTAAAAAGTTAAAATTTAAAAAATATATGTCATTTTTAAATTCGTATCTCTGGCTACCTGTGTTCTAAATTTGAATTTGGTGGCGCGAAAAATTTATTGATTTTTTGAAGTTATACTTCTTTAGGCGCGTTATGAAAAAATGATGAGAGTGAAATTTTAAGATGCGCGCGCAGCACTGTAACACAAAATTTTAACAGCATGAAGTTGGTCGCTTTAGCGACCAACTTCATGCTGTTACTTTTGTGTTTACCGCACATTAAGAAAATCTACCAACAAAATAGAAATAGAATCTCTATTTAGTGGGTGCTAACGACTGCATTGTGAAGGCCTATCAAAAGTATTTATTAATCTGGAACAACGGAACCAAAGCGCGATTCAGGAGGCTACAGCGCCATCTCTTGACCATTGGTGTAGTAGAACCAAAAACCACATCTTTATTTTTTGTATTAAAGTAACAGTTATAGGTATTCATATTTATAATATCAAAAGTATTTATTAATCTGGAACAACGGAACCAAAGCGCGATTCAGGAGACTACAGCGCCATCTCTTGACCATTGGTGTAGTAGAACCAAAAACCACATCTTTATTTTTTGTAATAAAGTACAGGTATTCATGTTTATAATATTTATCCACATGTTTCTAGTTTCCTTTTGTCTTCTGTGTCCTTTTCCAGACTTTTTATTAATTTATTGTAATTAATTATTTGCATGTAATTAAAAACTAATTTTAAACGATGCGAAAGAAGGATAACTTCTCACGCGCCTACATAAGTACACGCACCCATTTTTTTGTCATTTGAAAATATATTTCGTCAACTGTTTTCAAAATGCATGAAATTGAACATTCGAGTTCACTGTTTTGATTGAATTTTTGATTCTGGCGTGTAATGATGAACGCATGTTTCATCTGTTGTTACAAATCGACGTAAAAATCGGCCTTATTACTCTGAAAACGGTCCAGACATTCTTTTGAGTTTTGCACCCGAATCCTTTTTTGTTCGTGCGTAAGCAATCGCGGCACCCAACGGCAACGGGCCGATAACTTTTTCATATTTAATTCCTCACTTAGGATATGATGTACCCGTTCTTTTGAGATACCTGTAGTGTTAGCTATTTCAGATAACTTGAATCGTCGATCTGCTAAAACCATATCATGTACTTTCACGACCATTTCCGGAGTCGTGACGCTTTTTGGACGTCTGGGGCGGGCTTCATCTTGGACACATGTACGACCGCGATTAAACTCAGCCACCCAGTTTTTTACTGTGGCATAAGAAGGAGCACATTCACCCAAAACATTCTTTAACTCGTCATAGATATCTTTCCTCTACATGCCCTTCATATGAAGAAACTTCATCACCGCTCTTTGTTCAATTTCATCCATTTTGAAAACATTTGACGAAATATATTTTCAAATGACAAAAAATCAATAAAATTTTCGCGCCACCAAATTCAAATTTAGAACACAGGTGGCCAGAGATACGAATTTAAAAATGGCATATATATTTTTTTTACATTCCACTTTTGAAGTTATACTTCTTTAGGCGCGTTATGAAAAAATGATGAGAGTGAAATTTTAAGATGCGCGCGCATCACTGTAACACAAAAATTAACAGCACTTCATGCTGTTACTTTTGTGTTTACCGCACATTAAGAAAATCTACCAACAAAATAGAAATAGAATCTCTATTTAGTGGGTGCTAACGACTGCATTGTGAAGGCCTATCAAAAGTATTTATTAATCTGGAACAACGGAACCAAAGCGCGATTCAGGAGACTACAGCGCCATCTCTTGACCATTGGTGTAGTAGAACCAAAAACCACATCTTTATTTTTTGTAATAAAAGTTATCGGTATTCATATTTATAATATCAAAAGTATTTATTAATCTGGAACAACGGAACCTAATCGCGATTCAGGAGACTACAGCGCCATCTCTTGACCATTGGTGTAGTAGAACCAAAAACCACATCTTTATTTTTTGTAATAAAGTAACAGTTATAGGTATTCATATTTATAATATTTATCCACATGTTTCTAGTTTGTATATTCGGAATACGTGTTTGAGTTTCATACAAGTGCAAATCACATATGTTCTAATAAATTATATTCAGTAGCGATTTTAATTGAATATTTTGATTATTTATTTATTTATTCAAATAAAAACTGAACTTTATTGACTGTGTCCTTTTCCAAACTTTTTATTAATTTATTGTAATTAATTATTAGCATGCAATTAAAAACTAATTTTAAACGATGCCAAAGAAGGATAACTTCTCACGCGCCTACATAAGTACACGCATCCATTTTTTTTTAAATAGCAGAGGCTATTTACTTATCATCCCGCCCTCGTATAAGAACGCCAATTTGTAAGGCAAAAATGCTGTTCCACCTCACTTCATTGTTTCAAGAGCTATACGAAACCTTTCTCTTCCTGTATCCGAATTCATATATATTTACAGTTACGACCTTTTCTCCCTTAACCATATTGTTTAAATGTAAACACTTACCCGACCATACAAGGCCAGTGGTGTGGTGTTGCTTTACGTAAGCCTGGAGATCCGACAGCAGCTGTACCCAGGCTCGGCACCACTCCACGTGCCTCTTGTCCTTCTCTTTCCAGTCCTTGAGCACGCGGTTCGTATAGAACTGTCCTGCATCATTCATCTCTTTCACGTACGGAGCTGGAGTAGGAGCAATAGCCACCCACCCCAGAGCTGGAATACTCTCCGATATCGCAGAAAGATGATTGAAAAATTGCGACGCGCGATTCTTTTCCCTGAATTGTTGAATAGCACTGATCTGTTCGCTCGTAGGGGCTAGCAACTGCATTTCCTCGGACTGTGCTGGCTTACTACGTGCTGCCGCTTGTTGAATATAACGTAGCTGTGCCCTATGTACAATAATTAAAATGTTTTAAACATATTCTCAGTTGTAGGTAAGGACAGTATTACTATTTATTAATTATTATTTTATACTAACTGAAAAGCAGCGTTCACCAAGTTGGCGTGGTTAGCAACATCGCCGCCAATCTGTTGGGACAATTGGATGTAAGTCCGAAGAGGACCCTGGGAAGAAAACAAACTATTAAACTTCACAGCCTCAAGAGAAATACGTTTTGTTATATTTTTATTTTTTTAAGCATTTGACTGCTAGAAGTTTAAATCTAAAGAAATTTGTAGGTTAGCTACAGTGCGAAGAGATGGCGCTGCCTTACAACCTAGGAAATACTAGAGAAAATTCGACGCGGCCATGATGGCCGCGGTAGCATAATGGTCAGTGCGGGTTCAAGTCCCGTCTGCTGCCTTGTCCGCGTGGAATGTTTTCTAGTAAAATTTTCTTTAGATTTAAAGGTAAGTTATTTATATTCAGTAGTGAATAAAATACAATTTAGAATGCAAATCATCCGAGAAACTGAGACAAAGGACTTCAAAAAAGTTATTAATCGAAGTCCTGTTTATTCAATTTAAGCGTTGTGAATTGGTTTGTTGGAACAGTCCAAGTGCATAAGGGGCTCCGCACAATGTGAGGTTCCGTAGTTTCCCATAACAAAGGTCAATCCGTGCACTTATACAAAGCATTTCCGCGTTACATCCTAACAGCATCTGAGCGGTCGTGCTTGAGAGAGCACAGGCTCCGAATGGCCCGGTGCTACCAAGAGCACTTTAATGCATTATAATAACATGAATGTTAAAATTATTATGGTTATAATTATTTTTTTAAAGGATATCATAATTTTATTTTTGTATGCTTTACCATGGTTCATTAAATTCTACCACATCTTATATACTAACAGCGTTATTCATGTACCTTCTTTCCGTATTTTCGGAAGACTTATCCAACGAGTCCCAATCAATATACAGAGGAGGAATCACTTGAAAAAAATTATATATACATACATTTCAAAATTTGGCTATATGAATTCGTCGGCATAACTAATAAATGGCTCAAATCCCTCGACAAAGCTGCGGACAATCGACAAACGTATGGACGGTCGGATACAGCGACACTAATGGTTTCTTGTTGACTTCGGAACCCTAAAATAACTCTAAAAAGTAAACCAGCATAATACTGTTCGAGTTAATAAAATAATAAATAAAAAATCTTTAGCACCAGAGCCTCACGAATATGGAAATTCCGTGCCGAAACAAGAACTCCTGTATTTCGAATACATTTCCGCTTTGTCCCGAATTTCGTGCGGCAAAAGTAAAAGTAAGTAACTACCTACGTCTTTTTAGCATTTTTCCAGCGGGACTGTTTGACTCGTTTTACACAAAGTAATAGAAGTTAAAGTATCAAATCACATGATGGATCGTGATTCGTAATGATGCATGGATTCGAAGGCGGTAAATAAAAATAAAATATTGCCGATTCAGTAATTTATCAATACTCTTTAGTACAACAAATGTATTTCACACTGTGCTATTTTTAGGGTTCCGTACCCAAAGGGTAAAAAGGAGTCATTGTAATATGATACCGCTCTATAACTAAGACTACACTGTCCGTATGTCTGTCTGTCAACAGGCAGACCATGAACCATAACAGCTAGACCGGTTGGATTTTACAGATGATGTATTTCTATTGCCGCTATAACAACAAATATTAAAAACAAGGGGGGCTCCAATCCAAAATACTTTTTTTTTTGCCGTTTTTTACTCTATATTAATAGCAGTACAGATGTCTTGAAATAGTCAAAGAATACTAAGTTGTATATTCACTTTAAAAATAAATAATTAAATTAATAATTAATGGGGCTCCCATACTACAGGCGTGATTTATTTGCCGTTTTTACTCGATATTATAACATAGTGTCTAATGTTTTATGGATAATGGTACGAAACCCTTTGTGCGTGTATCCAAGTCGTAATTTGGCCGTTTTTTTTTAAGGAATCAGAGTAGAGATATTAACGTTCTTTTAATGGACATACCTTGCAACTGTTTTGCAATTTGCAGTGTCAGATAGTATAAATTTTTTTATTAGCACTAACTGTTAAAGTACTTATAACTGTAATTTACAACTGTATTATTTAACCTGTTCATATAAGACTTTCAGTTCTGAATCACGCGTTCTTATATAAAATAAACATTATGCATAACATGAATTTTGTATGTATAAAAAATTAGGCTTAGGTATGTAGCAAGAGAATAAATACTATTAAAACTGATCAATTTTGTTTTTGCAAAAACACATATTTACGAGAAAGTTGTTGTCATTTATTAAAGTAAAAGTTTGAATAATAAATTAATGTAACAAGCATCCAACTCCTTTACAGAGATTGCTCTAAACTTCCTTATCCTTAGAGAATTGCATGTTAAATCATAGTCAGTCACACTTTGAATAAACAACTTTAATGTTAACAAGTTATATTGCAAAACATAACTATGATTACTATTAGAAGCATCAAAATAGAAACGAAATAATGAAGGTAATCTAAAGCAATGGAATGGATTCTGAGCATATACAGGGTGCTACAAAAATACAAATAAAGCTTGAAGGGCGTTGAAGTACATCATATAAAGAGTCTTCTCTAATTTACTTAAAATATTTGCATGACGTTTTAACTTTTTATAAAAACAGTTATTTTTAATGATTAATAAAAATATCGATAATTTTAAGACACGTCACTAATTCGAGGATCATTAAAAATAACTGTTTTTATAAAAAAGTTAAAACTTCATGCAAATATTTTAAGAAAATTAGAGAAGACTCCTTATATGATGTACTTCAACGCCCTTCAAGCTTTATTTGTATTTTTGTAACACCCTGTATAGATATTAGTGATGTAACGAATATTCGCATTCGCATTCGCATATTTTTGAATATTCGCATTCACATTCGCATTCGCAAAATCTCTGCGAATGTTTAGCGAATATGAATATTAGAAAAAAACAATTTGAAGAAGTTGTAGTTCTGCCTTTCCTTGAATATTCGTTGTTACACAGTTTGCATTTAGCTGGTTCAGCATCGCAAAGTGTGAAATAAGTCCATGTTTCACTAGAATTCGATTTACTCATGTTAATAAATCACTATTACCACTCACAATCACTAACCTCAAAATTCACTTGTTTTGTAAACACCGGAAAGACCGGCGCGAGCGGAATGACACAACTCGGCAATTCGAACGAGACTGCCACCATGCCATAGACAATTGGCGCCAATTTAAAGAAAAACTAAATATTCGCATTCGCATTCGCGAATGTCGGTACCAGACATTTGCATTCGCGAATGTTCAAAAAATGACATTCGTTACATCACTAATAGATATATGTAATCATACTGCTTTGGATATAACAATATGAACGACTATAATGCGATTCAGCTGAGAATGGGACCGACTGGACGCCATATTGTGACGTCATAGCTGTCAATTCAAACCAAATTGGTAGAGAAAGCAAAAAAAAATTGTATTTAAAAAAACTTATTACCAGAGTAGATATGAATAATCATGTACTATTACTAGTTCACATACGAACGTTCATCCTATATGTAAACGTAAGTTTTAAATCGAGTTTATGAACGCAACTTAAAGTGACATTTGGTTGACGACTTAGGCACGGTAAATAATATTACCGTGATTTAGGTTATCAACCAGTCATAACCAAAGCTTAATAAATGAAAAAAAAATATCGAACAATATTAATTTATCAATATTTGTTATCGATTGTTTACAATTTTTTGGTTTTTAAACTGGAATTAGCTGAGTGCTAAAAAAGGGTTGCAAGATTGTTTTGCAAACCATACTTTTCAAGCGACATTTGACAAATGGAGGTCATTGGCTTTCCTATTCTTAATTGAATTGCACTATACGTATAGGTTTTTTCCCTACTAATATTATAAACGCGAAAGTGTGTCTGTCTGTTACCTTTCAGTCAGTTTTGATTCAGCTAAAATTTGGTATGTGTAGTAGTGTAGTTTTTATAACAGAAATTATAATTTAAGGGGGTGAAAAGGGGGGTGGGAGTTTGAATGGAAAAATATTTCTTCCACACAGACGAAGTCGCGGGCCCCCACTAGTTTAGATAGATGTAATCATACTGCATGAGATATATAAATATTAACAACTATCTATAGGGACTGCTGTTATTTTGTGAGAAATTCTGAAGGGACAAACTGTGCACGGAAGTAACATCGAAAAGCAGGATAATGCTGATAACTTGGGTTAACACTCATCATAATATATTCATGGAAGGTAGTACGTGCCTATAAATAATTCGTAAGGCTCTTTGAGTTCCTTAATAAGCATACCAATAAGCGTACTGGCTCTTATGTTAATATTTTCCAGGAGGAAATGTTCCAGATTTTTTGTTGAACCAAGAAACGAAAAAAATACGAAAAAGGCGCAAAAGAGTATTCTTTAAAAATAAAATTAGCTTTATTTAATAATGTTCTACGAAATGATTTATTATTGGTAAAGTAATATTATCACGGTTAAATAGCGATGCTGCCCTACTGGACCCTTTTGTAAACGGGAAAGACGCGGAAATTGACCGTTAGAATGCTTCCTGAGAAAAGGCCTGGCTGTTATAGGTCGGCTTCTTGGGCTTTAATAGGAGCTAAATGATTTCACAGCCTCATTCAGTGAATCCCTTTTGCTTGTTTTCAAAAGATTTCGTAATGCCATAAGAGGATCCTTATCCTATTTACTTAGGAAAGCGCCAAGGCACGAAATTAATTTCATCTTCTTGACGAATAATTAAATATTGTACGTTTGTCAAGCTAAGTTTAAAACTTGTACAAGTTGTAGGAAAAAAAAAATATCACCCGACAACCTTTTTAAAAATACCTTAGGTTTCTTTTAATACTGATGATTAATAAAAATAAGGTATGATAAACGATAGGAAAATATATTTGATGCATACTAACTCACCCCCTTCGGCCGTGTTTGAAACAATTTTTTGAATCCAGTTGAAAGTGGTTTCGAAAAAACAATAATATTTTCGCTTTCGAAAAAATATTAAAAATTCTTGCATAGAAACCCAATTTTTATTTTAAGCATCTGCTTAATTCCTAAATCAAAATATCGTATAAAATGGGAGGCATATAATAGGCTTATAGATGCTGACGCTA